AGAACAAAGGAAAAGTAGCACAGCTCTCAGGGAGAGAGCCGGCTCCCTGGGTGAGAGAGTCGGCTGTCCATGAGGGAGAGCCGGCTCCAAAGGTGTGAGAGCCGGCTCCCATGAAGGGGGAGTCGACTCCGTTGCTGTAACACCCGTATGGGTGAATTTTTGGGGTTTTCTGATGATAGTGGGTTAAAATATAATTCTGAAACTTGTTTGGGGGTTTTTAATAATGTATAAAACATACTTAAGACCCAGGAATGTTGGTTTATACTGTGGTAATGGACTTCATGAAATTTAAATACTAATTTGCATGTTGTCACGGAATAAGGAAGTTTTATTGCTAGTGATTGTTTTAGCAAATTAAATAGACTAATAGGAATGTATTTTTGGAATTTGAATGTTATGTGCTCAGTTTAAACTTGTGAGTATCATTATATCATGCTCTGGATTCATAACTGGGGATTAAATAGACATCATGAAATTCATATATTAATTTGCATGCTGTTAAGGATTGTGGAAGATTTAATTGCTAGTTTTGTTTTACCAAATTAAATGGACTAGTATGAAAGTATTTTTAGGATTTTGGTATAAGTTGCTTAGTTTATATTTCTGATTATCGTTATAACATGCTATGGATTTTAATTAATGAACGATTATAAATTCTGTTCTGTCAATTATACGGATATGGATAGTTTAAATTGTTTATCATTACTCTAACAGTTTAAACGAGGTTATATGACTATAATCACATATTGGATGCATAATAAGATCTTGTATATATTTGACTTCTATTATGTTTGTCTCTGGATGTATTTGATGTTCGAATGAGTGTGCATCATTTATGGATCATATGCATTATATGCACCGGTATGGGACGGTGGCATATTAGGGATGGATTAAATCAAAACACTAATTCGTACATATTCATACATACAGAATGGATTAACTAAAACAGTTAAATCCTACATGGATTCATGTCTTGTCAACTAAAAGAATTGAACGACATATCGGATGTTTGTTTTATATTCTATATTAGGAATGATTTATATATGTGATTATGGTACCATGATATGAGCTTGAGCCTCAGGATCATAGTTAGGGTGCGTATATCGCCTAGGATGGATAACTGGACCTAATTGTTGTTCCCTGGTAGGTCTAGGTATATATGACCACGTTACGTGCAATTTGTATGTTACCTTATACTCAGGCTGAGACAGAACTGTGGGCTAGTGAGCGTCCTATAGTGTGTATCTATATCTATATGGACTATTTTAGTTATTGTTGAGCTATCTAAGATGTATCTGCGTATCAGATTTCTGTATGGATTGTAGTAGGATAGAACTTGCATGTGGGCCTGACCCACTCTTATATTTTTCTAGGTGTTCGTCAGTTCCAGGCTTAGAGCTTGATAGCAGATACAGTCACTAATTCCTCCAACTACGTAAGACTGCTTTCTATATTTAGTTTTGGCTTTTGTTTCAATTATTTCCTTTTCAGTTTGGAATTTTAATAGGGGTCCACAAGATGGATTCCCGAATTGTTTAATTAATAGAGGTTTTGGATTATTGGATTTCAATTATATAATTTTGAGGATTTTTTTTTTTTTTTTTAATTTAGAATTCTTTCAGCGTTTATTATTTTATTCTTATTTTATTTTTGTATTCCGTGCTTATTTACATATTGATTGTCTGGTATCTCTCGGATCTGTGCTCAGACTTGATCACCCGTGACTCTAAAATCAAGGGATGTCACATAAAACCACCACCACCATCGCTTCTGCCTTCCACCACCATTACTACCTTTCACCACTGCCACTTTCACTACCTTCCACCACCACTGCCGCCACCACCACCACTTCCACCTCCACCATCACCACTGCCTCCACTACCTTCCACCACTACCATTGCCGCCGCCACCCCCACCATCACCATTACTGTTATTACCACCAATACTATTGTCATTGCCACCCACCTGCATTGTCACCGCGTTCACCATTATCAACGCCATTGTTCTCTTCACTGCCTTCCACTGTTGTCTTCTGCCACTATCGCCATTACCTTCTACCACCACCATCTAGACCACTGCCGCCTTCCACCTCTATCACACCACTACCCCTTCTACCGTTTTCCACCACCACCTACACCATTATCACCTTCCACCATAATTACCACTACTTCCATAACCGCCAACACTTTCCACCACCCATCACCTACACTACTGCTACCTTCCACCACCACCACCTCCTTTCCACCACTGCCACCGACTTCCTCCGTCGCCTTCCAACACTAACACCTACACCACTGTCGTTTTCCACCTACACCAGCATTATCGCCACCACCCACCACCACTGCCATTTGTTTTTACAAAAATTATAGAATAATGTTATTTTGTGAATTTAATTTACTTTTCACCGAAAAGGATATTTTGGATAATTCAATTTAAAATTCATTCTATTCTAGGTTTTAAATTGGTCCAATCAAATGCTAGAATAGTTATTATTATTACATATATACATCATTTCATATTTGTAATTAAACAATAGATTGAGAATGGTCATTTAAATCAATTTCAACATGCCAAACACAACATTAATGAAAACTAGAAGGATAAATTATGCTAACCTCATCAGATTTGTCATAATTACAAAAATCTCTCCTATAGTTTTAAAATTACTTCGACCTCCCTAAAAGACAAACCTTCTAACCAAACGGAACTACAATGTGTTTGGAAAGTCAAGATTTGATGGGATTTGAAATGGATTCAAAATGGAATTCATAGTTTTAAGAAGCAATGTAATTTAAAATGGAATTGAATTTCATAAAATTGAAATCCCAAAATATAGTGTTATCAAATTTTATGAAAATTGGTGGAATTTGATGATATTTTGTAAATTACACAGTGTTATCAAATTTTAGGAAAATTGGTGGATTTGACGATATTTTGTAAATTATATAATTTACTCAATTTTTGAAGTGTGTGTGAGTACTTAGAGCATCTCCAGCAGTCTCTTAAAGTACTCTTTTGTGGAAAATATATACTGGCACATATGATATGTAATTTTTTTTTTTTAATCTTTAGCAGTCTGTTAAGATATACTGCCATCTCACTAATGTGTAAAATTGTTGCGTATTTTACGTAACCTTTTGGCTGATTTGTTAGGCAGATTCCTATGTGGCGTCTAGCTGGCAAAAAGAATGGGCCCCGGTCTCTCTCTCTCTCTTCACCCATCTGCGATTTTCACTCTAGTTTCAGTTCTCTCTCTAGAAGATCGGGAATGCCAGATTTGGGGTGTCAAAGATTGATGGCAGTGTCGGCAACAGAACTCCGATCAGTTCCCGATACTGCATCAACCGTTATATCAGCAGATCGGTAGTCCCATGCTCAAATCAAAGTGTCTTCTCTCTTTACGAAGAGAAATCTATACTGTCGCCAAAAGGCCACGAGATTTTTTTTGATTATTCAATTTTTTTTCTACTGTTAGCCATGGACTGCTAGTAGGATCTATGCCGTGTATCAATTATGTAAAAATGTTCCACTTTACTCAAAACCCATTTGTCTCTTCCCTTTTTCCACCCGATCTCGACAAAAAAGAGAAATTCCTCCGGTCATGTCAATTGGATCAACACAATATAAATGCTCGAAACCCATTTGTCTCTTCCTCTTTTCCCTAAGGAATTTCTAAAAAGCCAAATGACAGAAAATGTATGGGCAATAGAAAGATTTCAATTAAAGACTTCGACGAGAAACAAGGACATAAACTTCAGATTGTCATCGTGGCTGTCGCGAGTCGTCACCGTAAGAAATTGATTCTGATTGGGTGTCGCCATTGGATAATTCACCTCAGATTGGGTGTCGCCGTCCAGCAGTGTTGTTGGCAATGTTAGCTAATTTACCTTGGTCAAGCTTTTTGCCGGCTGGCGGTTTATGGTTGCCGACAGTGAAATCCCGGCGAGGACGGATCGCTGTAGATGTCGCCGAAGTTGAATTGACGCGTGCAAATTCGTCAAGCGTGTAGTGGATTGTCAGCGCGTGTTGAGAACGCAGGAAATGGGTTTGATGAAGTTCTGCACTAGGATCGAGTACGCTGAAACGACGTTCTTCATATCAGTTTGTTCCGCGTAGAGAAAATGAATGGACAACGTGTCATGATGTTGACGCCAAATTGGATTAATTTTTTGCCAGCTGTACCGCCACATGTATTCTGCCTTGCAAGTAGGTCGGACTGTTCTGCCTGAATATCACGACCCTTGGGGAATATATTTTTACAAAAAAGGTATAAAACAACAACTGCAGCTAAAAATAAATAATCCAAATTTTTTGTGTAAATCTATTGTGACATATCAAATTTACACCAAAAAAAATATATACACAACGGTTGGAGATGCTTTTACGCAACAAAAAAAGATGTTAACTTATGAGTTTGTAAATTATCCAATTTACCTTTCTTTTTAATGAAACATAATATTGAAATTTTAATTAATAAGGATAAAAGGGTAAAAGAAATATTTCCTTTATAATTAAATTATAACTTATTCCAAACATTAAAATGAGATTTAATGTCAAAATTCAATCCAATTTATTTTATTTTCTAAATTCAAATTTTAAAAGAATTTGATTTAAAACAAAGTGTTAAGAGTTAAACTTATTTGAGTTCCCTTTGAAAGAGTGTTTTAATGAGTGAACATTGAATATTTGAATGAAAATACCTCAATCAATGTACCTTTTAAGTCACTAGACGTTTTTAATGTATAAATATTGAATCTTTAAAAGAAAATGGGAGTTTTTAGTTAAACTTATTTGAATTTTCTTTAAATTATTAGATTGTTTTGAATTTGCAATAATATATTTTTTTATTTGACAGAAAAAAATAAAAAATAAAAACTACAAACAAAAAAGAGAAGTAAAATCCATGCTAATAGACTGAATAAGCAACACGGGCTGAGAGCCCAGTTAGCCCAAGAGTGTGCCACTCGGTTACAAGACCTAGAACCCACGACAAACAGAGATCCTTGTGTTTTCCTTTCCTAAAAAGCATGTTACGGAAAAAAACATTAGAAAGTACTGTTTGTGGGTTAGAGACGGTTCACTATAATTTTCATCCAGTTAATATTTTGATTGTATGCAAAAACACAAATTGACATTGGAGCTCTCAACAATGGCTGTTCTGAGAGTTTTGGTATTGGCTCTCGTGGTGTCGACGTTAGGGTGGTTGGTGGAATCGAGCAGCGACAACAACAAAGTGTACTCGCCTTGCGCGGACGCCAGTATACAGCGATCCGATGGGTTTACCTTCGGGATCGCCTTCGCGACTAGGACTTCCTTCTTCTACAACACTTCGGTCCAACTCTCTCCCTGCGATAAGAGGCTCTCTCTCTCTTCCTCCAACTCTCAGATCGCTCTCTTTCGCCCTAAAGTCGACGAGATCTCTCTCCTCACCATCAACACCTCTACCTTTTCTCCGGTACCAACTCTACCATTCCTTCTCCACATATATGTATATGCTTATGTATCTAGGGTTTAGACCCTATGGTTTAATCTTGATCTTGTTCACCTGTACGGACAGAGAATTGAACTTATATTTGTTAGATTTGGATCTAGGGTTTTGACACTAGGCTCTGTTTGGTGGTTAATAAGAAAACAAGGAAAATATACAAAAGAGAGTGAAATTCCGAATTTTATGTGATTTCGGTACAGAATATTTAGAAAGTTGCATCAACCGAGACAAATAGTTATGTTGATTCTAAGGGTCTTGATTGTAGGGTTTTTTTTGCACAATCTCTTAATCGTCGTTACAATCTGCCTGTTAGTGAAGTGTTTTTTTTTTTTTTCCTTGAAAGAAAGTTTTTTAATTCTTGATGTGTTTTCCATGTAACTTGTGTTTCTTTAATTCTTTCTTTTTCTTTTTTCTTTTTTCTTTTTTTTTTTAATCTTTTTGGAGAATTGTTTTTATATTTGATTCTTTGCTTTAGTTTTGGCTTTTTCAGAAATCTGCCAAGTTTGGTGTGTTCAGTTGACGAGGGGTTTTTTTCGCTTATGAATTTTGATGGATTTTGTACCAGCGAGTTTTGCATGGTTGTAATGTTAAGGGAGATTATTGGTGATCATTTGCTTAATAGGGAGGTGATATGTGGCTGGTGCTTTGGGATTGAGAAATGTGGTATTTAGGAAAGAGTTGTAGCAAAGTTAAGTACAGTCTTCCAAAGATTATGTGGGATACTGATTTTGGCTATGGAGTCTCGTTCGTGTCTTTAGAAGGGCTCAAGGTCCTATTTTAGGGATACTATTTTTTCCTCATATTATTGTTGGTGATGGATCTCGACTTTCTTATTAAGAGGATCTTAAGATGTGAGCATGTTTTAAGGACTTGTTCTTTTATATTGTTAAGATTCGTGAACTATATGCGCATTTATATTGAACCTTGTGGTTCATCCTAATTCTTTGCTCTTCATGGAATTTTAAAGAGCTTTAAATAGAGTAGCTTGCTTCTGTCCTTTATCTTTTCAATCACGTGTATGTTTTATATCCACTTCGAAGAGGTTTAGATTCCTTTCCTAAAGTCGGAGGCTTCTCAGTTCATCCTACTAGATTGATTTGGAAGACTATGATCCCCAAAGTTAAATCTCCAGTTTAGATGACCTGAAATAGTGTTACAAAGCTCTTAGCTTGGGTGGTGTGTTCTTTGAACTCATGAGCCCAGTCCAAATAACCCAATGCTTGGTCTTGCTCAATTCAATTGTAATTCTAAACATCTAAAATTTTAAAATTAAACTTATGTCTTGGGGTGTTTTACTTGAGATCTTTTTCCAACTTGTAAGCCCACATGCCTTCTAAATATTTGATTGTTAGGGCCATCCAATCAATATGTATAAAGTTCCTCAAATTCCTTTGGATGGTGTTGGCTTTGGAATCTTCTAAACGAGGTTTATATGCGAGTGTGTGTGTGACTTGTTGAGCTTTCCCATCCAAGTTGAGCTAACGATTGTAGGGCAATTATATGGTATAATGGCGAGAAGTGTTCTTAAGGAAAGAACATATCATGCAACATGGTGAGATTGAAGAGGGTCCAACTTATGGGAATAGTAATGTGGCCTAATAGGAATACAAATGCGTACGAGATAAATGAGAAAGGACACGGCATGGTCTTCCATTGTGATCTCATATGTTGGATACCCTGGAGTAATGGGGGCACCTGTCCAGCTCCATGGAGCCCTTAGCAAGATTCTCATCCTATTCCAATAGTTTCCTATTCTTAGAGAACTGACAAACATGCCCCAGTAGCCACGAGCAAAAGTGTGTCAGCTGGCCTCCTGCAATAAGAGTGGACAAGGGCAGTGTATTCTTCTGCCGATGCTTGGATTTTTGGGACCCCTGTTTATGACCTGGTACTAGGGTGCAAGCAAAATGGAAGTGGCTTCCATATTCGGCATCTTTAAAAGTTGTTCAAACTCGTTAACTTAGATTCACAGGTCACCTTAGGGACCCAAAGTCAGATGTTACCATGCTGTTTAAGCCACATGGCTATATAGTAGGTTTCTAAATCATCCAATACATGTAAGAAGTATGTTTCACAAAAGAAAAAACATTGACAGATCCATATATTCTGCAAAATTTTAGGGTCACCATATGAAAACCTTTTAATAGGGTCACCGTATTAGAACCTTTTAAAAGGGTCACCGTATCAAACCCTTTTAATACATCTGGAGTATGTTGATCTCCTTAAGCACATTGTATTAATCCAAATGAACCGCCCTCACCCCCCACCAAAAAATAAAAAATAAAAAAAAAGAAAAAAAAAAAGAAAAGAAAGAAAGAAAGAAGAAGAAAAAGGGAGTAGCATGTGGTTTTCAAGCAAACTTATGGATTATCAATCCCTGAAAAAAGGTTGAATACAAATATATGCACACACACAAAAACAAGTTTAGCTGGAACACGTAGTTTGATTAGCTCATGTTTTTATAGTTTCATTTGTCTACTCTGGTTGAGAAAAAAATTAGAGCCTCTAGGTCATTCTTATCTTATGTTGAAACCTTTCTAAATTGTATATGGCAATTTGAGTTTGCATTTTGCATGCAATTTAGATTTTAGTTACGGACGAATGAGAAAGAATGGGTTTTCCTGGTGCAACACCATGAGTTTTGGAGTGGGTTTTTATATTCTGTGTACAAGACTCAGGATTCCCCGAGTAGTTTGGAAAAAGGCTTGGTTGTGGTTTATTGTTTACCAGTCTCAGGATTCTTCATACTATTTTTTAGTGTGTTAAGTGCAAGCCTTTAATTTATTCAAGCATGAGCTGCTCAAACTAGTTACAGAAGAAAAGGTATGAGATGCCTGCAGCTTTTGATTTTTAAGTAATGCGACGCCCATAGTGTGGTTGCCTGTTTAGCCATTATCTAATGAATATTTAATGTAATATTTTGGCAAGTGATTGATTATGACTGTTTTTTTTATTGGAATGTATGCTATTCTACTTTTCCTTTGGGGATTTTTGTTGAATTTTTTCTTATGGATGAATATGATGCCACATAAACTATTTCTGGCATCACCTGTGACTTGTTCTCTTGTTGGTTCGCAGGATTCTAGTGGTGGATATATGGTGGCATTTGCTGGTCGAAAATATGCTGCAAGGTCCACCCCTGCTTTCGTTGCAAATAGTACATATACCGTAACCAGCTTCACACTTGTAAGGAACAAAACGATGTATATTTTTATAATGCTTTTAACCTGCAATTAACCAACGTGAATATCTAGTGAGACCAATGTGATTGTCAATGCAGGTTCTTGAATTTAAGAAGGGCAGGCTTCAAAACCTATATTGGAAGAGGGATGGCTGTGCTAAATGCTCAGACAACACAAATTTTGTCTGCCTCAATAACCAGGATTGTGCAATCAAAACAAACAATTGTAAGAACCATGGGGGTTCTGTAGATTGTAGCCTCGGGATACAGCTGGCATTCTCTGGCACAGATAAGCATTATTCAGTTTTCAACTCATGGTATGAAGTGAAAAACCTCCGTCAGTATTCCCTCTATGGCCTCTATTCAAATCTCAAGGATTCCCTCACTGGCCAGTATAACAAGATCTTTTAAGTGGTTTGTGTATCAACTTGTGGTTGGGTTGTAATTTTTCTGTTATTTCTCTATCTATAGTACTTGTCCTTCCTCTTTTCTTGTTGCAAAGTTTCTTCGAAGTTGTGTAAATTTCTCCACTTCAGGTCTCTTTCTATTTTATTTTATTTTTTTACCCAAACAAAAGGACTCTTTCTAATTTATGAATGGATGATATCATTGTATGGGAAGTTTTATTTGTTGTCTATTATTTTTTATTTTTTTATTATTTGACGAATTGATTGATGAACTCGATTTGTCACTGTTTGACAGGCCGGACTACATGTCAATACTATATATAAGAGAGGTTTGCCTTGATCATTGATTTCAGTGAAAGGAGAGATTTTCCTTAGTTACTGATTTCAGTAAAAGGAGAGATTTGTCTTAATCATTTATTTCAGTGAAAGGCTGATTCCTTAGTTACTGATTTCAGTAAAAGGAGAGATTTGTCTTAATCATTTATTTCAGTGAAAGGCTGAACGTATGAGGTTTAATCATGGGAGGATTAAGATTCTGTTGACATCGGGTCAGGGAAACTGTTAAACCCTAGTGTGACAAGATAGGTTTCCTTTTCTTCATTGTCACTTGTTTTCCTTCCCAAATGTACAGCTACTAGATTAGCTTGAAGATGATCTAGTTTGAAGATTTTTCGAGCATATTTAATTGAATCTGTATTTTGAGTGTTGAAACTTTTTATTTATTTATTTATTTGTTAATTTTTATTTTTAAAAATTAGGAAGCAAGAGGAGACTGGATGGCCTAAGCCTTTTTTGAGTTGGGTGTTAGGGTTGGATTTCAGCTGGCCTTCGGCCTGGCCTTGTACTAAATTAGTGAGTTTAATGGGTGCTGCTGACCTTGGCCTAGGCCGTGGCCAAGCACAGCAGATGTGTACTTGTGGCTGAAATGTGTTGCAGGGTGGTTTTTTATTGGCATTGCATCTGAATTATGAATTCTTTATCATTGGATCTGATGAAATTTTAAGATGCATAGAATTAGCGGTTTCAGATCTCTAATGCATCAGTTGGTATGCTAAAGGGTCATCAATGGAGCCATATTACATTGTGCTTTGCCTATATTTTTCATTTTGTTGGCGGGCAGAATTACTACCTTCATATAGGCATGAACTTTTCTTAATCTATAAATTACATACTTTGCTTATTTCTAATCCTTAATATGTTACACTTGACTTCAAGTTCATGCCAGGGTCATTGAGTCATCGGTTTTAACTCAAATTGGCTGGTCATTTTCCTTTGTACTCTGTTGATACTATTACCGTCCAATCAGGTATGGATTACAGTACGCATTCTTATGTTACATAGACTTGGGTACGGGTGTTAGACACAGGTATGTATTTTTGTATCGAACGTGTCAAATCTCTAAATAGAAAGACACACGGACACGGTTAAATATTTATTTTATTTTATTTTCTAGAGTAAAGTAATGTTATTATCTAATATAATGTTCAATATAGGCATTTAACTCATTTTAAAATAATAATATAATGTAATTGAATGATGATTATATATGTTTTGTAAATACATGTACAACCAAAAGTGTCGCACACATATTCCATATCTATGTCCGAGGAATATGTATCTTACACGAGTACTTCATTACTTTCAAATAGTTCATGTAACAGAGGTGCATTCATTTTTGTGGTGGCTTCATTTCATGATCACTGGTACCAGCCAATTTTATTTGTCTGTGTGTTCTATCAGCAAGAAATGGCACCGGCTGAGCTAAATATCTAGTTACGTGTAAGGTGACCTAAATATCTAGACATGGCACTAGCTGAGCTAAATATATTATTAATTAGAAATTAGCACTGAACGTGATCGACCCTTGGTTACTCATCTAGGCTTGGTTTGGATAATTAGATAATAATATTAGTGATGTAGGAAAATAAAAGAAAAGAGAGAATAATATTAATCATTTATTGTGTTTGGAAAATTAAAAGATAAAAGACAAGAAAGGATAATGTTTGCAAGGACAATGTGAGTGGGAAGGACTATTTTATGGGCAGCAAGGACAAAAAGGATTTCACTTGAAAACATGGGCTTCTACCCCATCCTTTCAAATCCTTCCACTTTAAGAGGAGCACTATTCAAAGAGTTAGGTTATCCCTCCTAATTCTCTCTTTCCCTTCCTTTCAAATCCTTCCACTTTAAGAGGAGCAAAATCACTGTTCAAATAGTTAGGTTATCCCTCCTAATTCTCTCTTTTCCTTCCTCATTATTAAAACGAAAAAAAAATACGATATCCCTTTTCTTTTTGATTTTTTTCCTCTAATTCCCTTCCCTCCTAATTCTCTCTTTTCCTTCCTCAACGAACAAAAGATACGATATCCCTTTCCTTTCTTTTTTCCTCCAATTCCCTTCCCTCCTTTCTTTTTCCTCCAATTCCCTCAAGTCCTTAACAGTCGGGAAATGCACCATAATCTGTGTTGGCTCAACTTTGATAGAGAAAGCAAGCCAAGATTGCAATTTACTAGTGTTTTGATAGTGCTCTTAACAATGTAAGTTGTCATGGACTTGTCTGACGTACCATCATAATCATATGAATTGACATTGTCAACAACGTTATTTTTTGACTTGAAAATAATAAGGAAATCTCCCACTTGCTTGTTGGTTCCACCATCAACCCAACTAAAAAATGCGAGAATCTGATGTTATTTTAGTGTTAGGGAAGATTCTAATGGAAAATTATTAACTTTAAATTAACCATCGTATTGTATAACAGCAAAGCACTACTTAAGAAAGAAAGAGATTAAAAAATGCTAACCCACTTTCTACTTAGTGGTAATCCCGATTGATCCACCCTATAATACTTTATAGAGTTTTATCTTTTTGGAAAGTAACATAAAGCGCTCTTGATATTTTCTAATTAACAGGTAACATTAATACTCTACTAACGTAACATAGAACTAATCAAGAACATCTTATGAATTTCATAGAAAACGAGTGAAAGAAGAGAATCTATGTGGCTGGCCACATTCGATTGAGATGATGAACGCAAAACACATTTTGAAACTGGATGATATATATATCTTTTATTTGCGATATTTTAATTAAAGTTGAGGTGGTAAAACAGCAAGGTTACTGATCAGCATGAACGTGTATGTTGATAAGTTCTGCTGATGAAGAATGTGCTAAGCGCACACGTAAACAAAAGAGAAAAAGCATATATGTAATCAAGCTGATTGCTGATGCTAGCTAGTAATTAGCTTGGGAGATCTCCACCTCTCTCTCTCTCTCTCTCTCTCTATCTCTCATAAAGGTTTCAATATATCCATATGAGTCCAATAGTGTTGTTTTCTAGCTCTAAAGATGCAGAAAAGTTGGTTCTATCTGATGTGGATTGCAAATCTAACAGGAAGATAGAAACAGACACCTTTTTTCTCAAAATCCACTTGTACGCTTATGGGTGAATTCCACTTGGAATGATCTCACGCGTGCCGATGAACATTCCCCTGTCCGAGCAGCGACACGTGGCGCTAGTCATTACCCACAGTAGTGGAGGAAACTTTTAAGATATTCAGCATGAACAGCCACCAAAAGAGAGCATAAAGAGGTTGTGAAATAAAAAAAGGGGAAAAAGAAACTCAAAGTGTTGTGTTGAGGACCACATGATGAGTTTGCTTATACAAGAAAAGAGCAGCTTGGACTCCCACTGCTAACCACTGTTACAACTACATTGCTAACACTTTGCATATATATATATATATATATACAAGGACCAACTGGTCGGTTAGGACTTTGGGACCAGTTTTGGGAAACTTATAGGATAAGATAAAGACTAATTTGCTATTGGTTAACACTCAAGTGCCAATTTTAGGTCAGTTGCCTTACCATGTTCTTAGGACAAATCTAGTGTTGGATTAGTCTAGAATGAATAGATATTGATATATATATATATATATATATATATATATATATATATGTATCTGTGTGCGTGGGGGTTGGGGAGAGAATCCTAAAGCAGACCAGGTGCTATGGAAAAACAGTGGCATATTAGATACACAGCCTTACAGTTTGGCAGGGATAAAAAGTGCTCTTGCCATTCTCAATGGCAGGGACATTAATACATTATGTAAATCTTTTTAATTTATATGTATAACCAGATCAAATTCAATATTGAAAACTATGGGACGTTTCCTATATATTTTGCTTAAATTTCCAGATGATTTCACATTGTTAGGCTCTTAAATATTTCCTTCCTTTACTAGTTTTTAGAAGGAATGACAGGCAAATAAATTACTAGTTTGAACTTTCTCAATATAGCATCAAGACTGTAACCTACTGGTAGTAGTCGTACTTTCTCCGTTTTTAAAGACGAGCTAGGGTGAGTTCGAAGCGTTAGGGTGTGAATTTCTTGCCTAAGTTAAAGTAAAAATTCTGGATTTTATACTTATTTGGAGTGTGAAAAAATTAGTCTAATGCATACTTTTAAGAGCATATAAAAGAGGACAACAATAATCATGGTAGTTTTCTCCAAACAGAAAAGCTTTGAAGTGACAATCTTATTTTGTACAATATGAATTATTATTAACCTCAAAGCTTGAGTTGAGAGGTTGTTGTATAGAGAGAATTAGACGCATCTCTTCTCCATTGTCATGGGACTAGAATATACTCTCAAACAAACAGAAAAGCTTTATTGTCTAAGACACATGTATGTGTTCTAAGTTGAAACCTATATGCCAATGTTGGACCTAGCCAATGGCTGCATATGAAAATTGAATCTTGTCCCCACTCTTTTTAATCATGGAGTTTCCAAACCATTTAGAAAAGGCCAAAAGTAAGAATTAAAGCAACACTATGTAAAGGCTTGATGTGGGTTGAGTCATTCATACACACACAAGCTTTCTCCTACCTCTAATAATTGATCAATCAGTGTGTAATATCATTGGGGCTTTAGATTAATCACTATTGATTTCGATTTTAAAGAAATAACTGAAATTAGGCCAATAATAGGAAATCTGCATAAATCCAACTAATTTTATGTGATGAAGCTGATATTATAATGACATTAGTCTTCACTCATATAAATTAGTACTCACATGAAATATTATTTTTATTGCAATATATTGTAACTTTTGGACAAATTTACCCTTTTATTTTGGATGGAAGACTAAGTAATATTGTATTATCATTTTGAGTATAGTACAATGACACCTCTTAAGGTTTGTTATAAAGACAATTATATATGAGTTGGTCAATTATAAAAAAAATGACACTTCCTCAAGTTTGATAGAATTAACAAAGACTACCTGACAATGGTAAATTGACTTTATTACTCTCAGACACATTAAATTATTAATTTAAGCAATACAACCCCTTTTGATTGACTAAAATACTCTTGAATCAAATAGTTTTAAATGAGTTATCGGGTACAACCCATCTGTGAAGGGTAAAGTAGACTTTTTCTCTCTCCTCAATCATTTAATTGTTTTGATTCTTCACAATTCAAACTAATTAAATAATGAAAGGTAAAGTAAAATTTTCACATGTTTTTAGGATTTGTTTGGCTTTCAAATCTTACAAAGAAATGTCATTATTTAAAAATATGACAACTTATACATGACTATTTTTATGTCAAACCTCACCAAAGTGTCATTGTACTTTACTCTATCATTTTGTTTTTTTTCCCTTTTGGCACTGTAATATCATGAAAACCAAGGATCTCAGAAATTGTCAAAATGAATATTGGAGCATAGCGATATTTCTTATTGCTTTGTTCTCCAATGCGGTGGCATCAAGATGACAACAACTTAAAAAGTTGGTGAAACAAATCCTTAGGCTTATCGAACAAATGAATAATGGTCGTATGTGTAATTTGTCATATTTTGGCTGGCATAAATAATCTTTTGGGACATCACTTTATAGATGTACATTTGTAGTGACTAGGCTATTTTGTCCGTTGCAAATCCAAAATAAATAAATAAATAAAACTTTGAAATAAGAGTACAATTGCATTGGATATCTAGTCAAACAACCTGAGAACTGACAACAGGGACTACTAGAAAATTTTTGAAATCGGACATGTGTAGTCAATCTTAGACTAGACAGTAATCCTTAAGTTAACTTCTGTATATTTTAAGGAAGATTTATTTCAACGAAAATTTGGAGAAAAGTTAATTGTGTCTAAATAATGACAAGATATAATCAGCTTTTTAAATTATTTTTTAAATTATGATATTATTAAAATAAAATATTTTTATTTATGTGATATGATACAATTAATTGATAACAAATATAATAAAATATTAAAAGTGTAAGAAAGTATTTCTTTAAAATTTAAATTCTTATATGAGTGATATGATATAATTAATTGATAACAAGTATAGTGAAATATTAAAAGTGTAGAAAAGTATTTTTTTTAAATTTAAATTCTTATATGAGTAATATAATTTTTATTCAAGAAATTTACTCCAAAAAATTACGTAAAATATGTCCATATTTATCTAGTGTCACATTAATAGCAGCATTGCACTATGTCATTGCCTATGTGGCAGCGACATGACATTACATTACATTAAATTGATTTAGACTATCTTTAAAGTTCAATCAATAATTTATTTATTTTTTTCATTTCCTTACGAACTACCAATATCAGTGCCACGTGGTTGCTAAGGATTGTCAATGTGGCAATGATGTGAATATTGACATGATGATATGATGCCACATGGCTGCTGACATGGTACCACCAAACTGGTTACGAGCAAGTCAGTGTGATCACAAGACAATTAAGCTATTCCCTTCTCAACAAATAAAACTTTTTAAGAAATTCAGCATTTGGAGTTAAATTCCATCTGTGTTTCAACTACAAAAGGTTAATTGAAAAAGTGTGTGTCGACATCTTCAGATAAGTTAATTTAAGTAATTATTAAAATAAAAATAAAAAAACTGTTCTTCTAGTTGTAATCTAATATTTTGGAGCCAAACACCTTGACATTGAACCTAGACGTCCACTGCAGATACAAAATTCCAGTAGCTATATGATGAGATCATTCTTTAGAGGCAATTAATTAAAGGGTACGGCTTAGCTACTCATCGGTAAGTAAAGTAAAGGTATTCACTCTTATGTGACTCAATAACAAAATAACACATAACCTTTAATAATAAAATAATCCACACATTTCTCTGCTTTCTCAAATTAACCATTGAATAAATGTATATAATGTTTTTAAGTGTGATTTATTTTATTATTAAAGGTGATGTGTTATTTTGTTATTGGACTACATAAGGTAAATAGTTTATATATATGTGTGTGCACGCGCATGTACCCATGGTAAATGGATGTTCTAAAAAGTTCTAACACCATCATTATTGATAATAAATAAAAATAAGATCATATGAATATATATAAATACACATATATATAGGCACAGACCCAACATTATATTTTTATTTTATATCTTAATTTTTAAAAAATTTATGAAAATGTCATCACTAAAATTATAATTTGTCCCCTTTGAATTTTATTTTATTTTTGCATTTTATACTTTAAATTTTTTAGAATTTATGAAAATCTCCCCACTAAAATTACAATTCCATTGATTTTTTTTTTTTTTTTTTTGTACTTTATATTTTTGAAAATTTGTGAAAAAATCTAATTGAAATTATAAAAATGAACCCACTATATAAGTTTGTCCCCTCAAATTAAAAGTCCACCCCCACCTCACAAAATTTTCTAATGAGGGCATATATATCATCCCATCCAGGATAATATTGGATTATTTTACAACTGTGACCCATCAATGTTGGTAAGTGATTTGGGCGTTTGGTAAATTGAATATTATGTTGTAGTAACCATGAACAAATTTAGTAATTAGTATTTTATTTATTTCTTTCGATGGAACGGTATTTCTAGCTAAAATTACAAATATATGTAGTAATAACAATATTCCATTTGTAATAGTTCCCCAAAAGGGTCATTTAAAAAATAAATAAATAAATGATTTTCATTTCCTTTTCTTTTTTTCTTCACTCTTTGGGCCAAATCTAATGTGAATTTACATGTGTGGGGTTAGTTTGAATTTTCTTTTGTAACCGAATTTCAAAAGGCAGGATTCTTCATTTTCTTCTCTCAGTTTTTTTTTTTTTATAAATAATTTACAATTAAATATTCAATGAATTTCCATTAAAAAAACAAATGGTAACTAATTTACCGGGGAAAAAGAGCTTTGTGTCAAAAACAGTGTTGCTATCAATTGATTTCAGAGAACTTTCGTCCCGTCTTCATTTGCAAAGAATTATGTTTTTGTTTATTTTTTTTGCGTTGAAGATTATTCAACATTGACTATTTTGTTTTGACATAACTAGACACTTCAAATTTATGTAACGTAATATAAGAATTCACCATCAAGAATTGCAGTGTGTGTGTATATATATATATATACAGAGAGAGAGAGATAAATAAGAATTCTAAAGATGCATTCAAATTAGGGGCGCAAATCATTTGCTGTGCGATTCCCATACTGTTTTTTTACAGTGAGAGGTAAGTGGCATTGATTTGACCACGTTTTACTCCACTTAATAGATATTAAGACTGTGTTTGGCAATTGCATTACTATTTATAAATAATATTTCACCACCATTTATAAATAACATCACAGAAATCTAAAAGTAATATCACATAATCTAAAAAGTAACATCACCACCATTTATAAGTATCTTCACCCTCGATGTTACTTTTTAGACTATGTGATATTATTTTTAGACTTTTATAATGTTACTTATAAATGGTGGTGAAATATAAAAATATATATACATCTAATATGTAACACCCAATTCAGCAAATTCAAGTTTTGGCCTAAATTTTAGACACCCAATTGAAAAAATCGATCTAATTGTGCAATTTTAACACTGGACATTATTTTGAGCACTCAACTAAGAAAATTCAAATAAAATTAAGAAATCAACCAGGGTTAGAATAATTTTTAGTATTTCTACAAATAAATTAATCAAATTAAGCATATATTCAACAAATTGTGAAATTACTTGTAATGCTTGCATTTTCAAAAAATCAAATTTTTTTTAGAGGCATTAACTATAATAATTCAATAAAGGAGTACTATTAATGACAATATACAATTCCTAGATTCTGAAATTTATAAATGGTGGTGATGTTACTTTTTAGACTATTTTTACATTTCACCACCATTTATAAGTAACATTACAGAAGTCTAAAAGTAATATCACATAGTCTAAAAAGTAACATCACCACGTTTTGAGAGTGAAGATACTTATAAATGGTGGTGATGTTACTTTTTAAATTATATAATATTACTTTTAGATTTATGTGATATTACTTATAAATAGTGATGAAATGTTACTTATAAATAATGGTGCAATTGCCAAATACAGTTTTAATATTTATTAAGTGGAGTAAAATATGACCAAACCAAACCACTTACAGCTCACTATAAGAAACAGTATGAAAATCGCACACAAGATGATTTGCGTACTCAAATTAAAAAGTCAAATGAATAACATTGTTGCATGACTGTTAAGGTTAATTATATGGCTTTACATTGACCATTTTCTAATTTTTCATGACATCTTTGTCAAGGGATGAACATATAACCACATAGAAAATAGCAGAAGGTTGGGACCAAGTCCTTTACAACTGTACACTAGACAAGACAGAGAACAGCGATGGACCACACTATATTAAAACCCAAAGTCCTATGCAAATCCATATACTTAGTTTTAACCCACTTGTAATAGTATAAGAAGAAAAAGTGTGTGTAAAATTACCAAAAATAGTAGACAATCAGAAGACTGGGTTTTGTTTGGCCATTTCACGCCCAATCTTTTGTATAATTGAAATAGAAATAGAATGTTTAGATGAGTGCTCCATGATCCATCCATGGTAGGAATAGAATAACAAGTTAGAGAGAGAAAGAAAGTAGAGAGAGAGTGTGTGTAGTACTAAATATTTTTGGCAGATAAAACAAAGCTTGCATGAAAGCTATATCTCATTGGTCACTGCCGTGTAGTTCCATTACACCTGTACGCAGACCTCGCATTCTCTCTCCTTTTTCACTCTCTCTCTCTCTCTCTCTCTCTCTCTCTCTCCTCTCTGCTTCAAATTCTACCGACATGGCTCCTATCTAATGGGCTCTCTCTCCTTAAGTGCAGCACCGGATTTTACTATTGGGTATGTGATTACTCTCCTTTCTTCTCTTTGGTTTGGTGATCTTATCGGAATTTTCTGTTCTTGATCTTCTCTCTCTGGCTTTTGTTGGCGTAAATATCTCTCTATATTGATAATCTGAGTATCACCTTGTATTTTATCAACTAGGTTTTTTGTGATCTTTATCTTTTCTTTTTATTTTTGTAAAAAGAAATTTGGTTTGTATGATCACTATGTTCATATACTTCGAATTTCCTTTTCCTTTTCATTTAAATATAGTCAGGATTTCCATGTTATTACAGATTTAATGGGGTATTTTGGATTTTGGCATTAGTTTGTTTCAATCTATTAAATTTTTTTTTTTTGGGTTAACTTCTACTTTGATTTTTTGTGGATTGAATGCATTATGGATGAACTGCGTTATTAATTTATTGAAATATTTGGTGAAAGTTACTTCATAGAATTTTTCTTATATTTTATAGGACAACTTTGGTATGATTTTAATTATATAACATAAAAATTGCAGGGACTAGATTGAACAATCGAATATAAGTTAGTTGTAACTTGAAGGGTATCTATGACCATGCACACTGTATATTTCAAAGAACATGAAGGAATTGTCCCAAATCCCTTTGGGCCATTGTCATCGGTCCCGGTGCCTTGGTGGAGTGGACTTGGATCTCCATCGGCTCATGGTGAATCTTATGGCCAATTGAAGTCTTCATCCATGGCTGCAAGTGGAGACCAACTCACTGCCACCAAACAAGCGGAGCGGGGAACAGAGCAAGCGGTGGAAAAGGCAACTCAATTTACTTTTCTTTCTGGTAATTTCTTCACTTATGCATCATTGATGCCACTTTGGTAATGTCTATTCTTGTTGGCTTTTGTATATTCATTTTTTATGACCATAATTGTGGTCGTGCAACTTACATATACATTCAAAAAAGTGCTGGATGAACAAAACTCAATTGGGATGTCAAAGAATTGAATAGTGAAAACTGTTAAAAGTTTCTAAGAATGAATGTGTGGAATGCACTCTTGGCAAGCCTCTTGTTTTTTCGTTTGCATACTCATCATAGTACTGTCATCTGCATGGAGATATACTAGTCATCACTTGCATTTTATTGATATTGTTTGTGATTAGGATATGGGATGCTATTGGGCTATTAATCTTTGACAATGTGAGTTTTCCTAAACATAAATGGTCAAATAGGATAAAAATCGCATGTGCATAGGAAAAGTAGAGAGCACATACAGGAAAGTTTGGTATAGACTTAGTAAGAGACTGAATCCTTTCCCATTTCTCCTTTCTTGTCAATGACTCGGTGATAAATAAACTGATTAAAGGAACTCGAAAATCTTCTTAGGACCAGGTTGCTTATAGCACAAGGGTATGTTTTTCAGTCCATGGATATTTGGATGTGCTTATTGTGGAGATGGAGTTGCAGTGCTTTCATGACATAGCATAGTAGTAATATATGGAACACTTGATATGTGGGAGGCAAGGTAATTCTTATTCTGGGAAAATGAATATACTCGATTAGTTTTTCATTTTCTTTCCTTGAAACTCCTTTGCTACTAGGTTCTGACTCCTTCATGGTCTGCTTCTTGATGCTGAGAATATTGGCGTAACTCATAATGCATGATGGATAATAAATGGAGAATACTAAAAGGCTATCTTTTGTATGCTTGCAAACAAGATAGATTTATGTTGTGTTAACTAGTAGTAGTCAATTTTGGAATGTTAATTCTTGACGCACAAACAGTAAGAGTGAAGTATAATATACGAAATACCCAACCTAAGGATATCAGTGTGAACAAGGTTTCCAATAGCAAAATCACTGCAGTGGAAAGAAAATGTACGAGTCAAGTGCAACCACAATTCTATTCTGGCTTGGTGACATGTCAATCCGCAAGGACAAATAATTGTGTCGTGTTTCTATCCTGGGTCTTAGTGTCAGTTCTGTAAAGTGATCCTCAATTAGGGAGTATAGTTTTATTTATGATCAAATTATGTTTTGTAATTAATCTAGTTCTCCGGTTCATCCTTAAATCTTACAAAAGGAATCATGATACTGCATTTCGCAGCTTGATGTCGTCTGGTTTTGGCCATCAAAACTCTGGACCTTTTTATGTAAAAAAAATGGCCACTTTCAAGCTTGTGAATACTTCCAATTAAGCTTTGGATGCAAGTAAAATCAATGTGGTATGTACCGAAGAGAAAAGCACCAAAATGATAGCTTTGCTGTGAAATAGGCAAAAATAATAATCATGAAATCCAAGAGTTGGGGAATGACTATGCAACCACGTACATGCGTACTTCTTGAATTTTTTTAAGAGCCTACTTTCTCAGTATACTAACTGTAGGATGACATAAAACAACTCACAAAATGAAAGGAAAACAGGATTCTTCTGTGTTATTAATTGTGCTGTAAGGAATAAACTCAAAGACATACTCTATTTGTCGTTAGCCAAAAAAATTGCAGCCATGTGCAGATGATACTTTCTGAGAGGTCTGTTGCCAAGATTCTCGTTATATTGTCAGTGAAAACATTCTGTGGAAACTAGTTGGTGTTTTCCCTTTGCACAAACAAACCACAAAGTTCATGAACTGTTTTTCAAGGACATGGATTAACTGTCGCTACACCTTCTGCATCTTTACCCTTCTGCATCTTTACCACAAAGTGCTTTGTCGTGCTAGGTCACTGACGTATCCATTTTTGTCTTTATTTAACCCCAAGGAAGGATTGGATCGAACAACTTTCCTGTTGAAACCCTTTGTGTCTATTAATTTCTTGCTTCGTGGAATCTCCACAGCCAATTTTCCAGAGGCCTCTCAAATTAGTACCAATGAGGAAGGAAACAAATGGAAGATTTAACACATAATGATGGTAAAAAAAAACACTTTTTTCAATTTAAAGGCTTATCACGCTTGCAAAGACGCTACAACTCTATGCATGTTCCTAGGCAATATATACAGGTACTTTCTTGGTTGAAGGTCTTGTTGCATTGGTTTCGTAGCCAAATCTAAATCATCTAGGCAGTGAATTATTCTTTGGAAATAATCAACTCCTCAATTGTAAAACATGTGTGAGAGCTTTTCAAGTTGTACGGAATTATATATGCTAGTCTGCTCTCTGTTCTTGTTTGTCTCTTGGTACTTTGGGGAAATAGAAAAAACAAAAGAAATATGTTTTTTTCTTGGTAGCCTTACTGTCACGACCTACCCCAACCCGTGTAGATATTGTCCGCTTTACACACTCTCCTCTCGGTGCTCACAGTTTTGCTCAAAACGTGTCTACACATATAAGTCTCAACAACTATTTCCCCCTAGGCGATGTGGGATGTCACAAGCACCCCCTCTTGGGACCCAGCGTCCTCGCCTGCCTCCTATCCCTCATGGGCTTGTGCCCCCCCATTTCCGATTGAGGATTGGCTCTGATACCATTTGTGCCCCAACCTGTGTAGATGTTGTCCGCTTTGCACACTATCCTCTCCGTGCTCATGGTTTTGCTCAAAATGCGTCTACACAGTTAGGTAGTGTCCACACAATGTGGGATGTCACACTTACACTCATATTTCATTGCCCTTACCAGAGGGCGATTGAAATTCTGTGAAAGGGTACTACATTTTCTACTTAAGATTTTTATTTTTTAATTTTCTCAAGGATTCTGTTCATTTGGTGATAGGAAGTGTGGAGGCTGATATTTTATATGTTTGTTTCTATGAATACCTTACTTATAAAAAATAAATAAACAAATAAAGAAGAAAGATATTTATTTTGTTATGTAGCCCTAATCTATATGAGTATAGTGTGGGGCAGATGTTGCTTATTGAACTCTCTGTAATTCTTTTGCTCTTCATCATAGTGATATCTCGACGACTCCGTGGACGTAGGTCTAGTTGTGTGTGAACCACGTAAATATGTGTTCTTGTTTGCGTTTTTGTTTTCTTTCCTGTTATATTTCGTATCTCACAGATCCTGAGTTCAGGTTGCTTTTTTCGCAACGCTGTATCGGTTTAGATAGAGCGGAAAGGAAAATAAGATTCATGTGCCAATTCCAAGTAGTTGAGAAAAGGACTTTATCAGTTTATTGAGTTGAGTTTAACTTTCTCAAAGACTTTATTCTTAAACATAATCACAATGGTGGAATTCTTTTTTGCGCTTGCATGGTTTTGTTGACTGTTTCAGTTTTGATCATGTAGGCAAGCATTGAAAGTAAGTTTAAGAGCCACAATGGAAATTATTCCTATACTAGGCATTTCATTTGGACTCTCGTTGACCTTCCCAGTAGTTTCTCATTCAGGTGATAGCAAAAGTTCATTGAACAGGCAAAAACCTCTGCAACTCCAGGCAGCCATCTCTGTGCAATCATCTCCACCAGAATATCGAGGTCATTTCGAGCTAGGATTTAGTCAACCTGTGGTAATTTTTTCTGACAATTAACTTATTTGCATGTATCAATATACCTTGGTTTCTAGTTACCAAATGCTTATTGTTTTATGTTTCTCTGAATTGTTGTAGATCTGTGCAACATATCCTTATGGGGATCAATGCTATGGAGTATTCTCGACTTTTGGGCCTATGGTTTGTCTTCCTTCTAATTACATAGCTCACTGATCACTGGAAACTACTTTTTGCATTTATACGATTTTTGTTAAGTAAAATGCTTCTCTTAGATGAATCGACATAGTGTTTGGAAACTAGTTTTTGCATTTATATGATCTTTGTTAAGTAAAATGCTTCTCTTAGATGAATCTACACACTGTTGAACTTCCATGATTGGAGCAATTCATGAGAGATTGATGGGAATGGATTATGGATTTGATGTAGACTGATTGCAGTGGATCATGGGATTTTGTAGTACATAGTGGGTGTTGTAATCTATCCATGTCTATTTAAGGAAACAATTTAATAGTTGACAGATATTTAAAACTATGGTCTTTTGGTTTCCATGTAATTGTTGTGGATTAGACTGATGTGGTTTTGAATCTACAGCAGTAAATTTGTAAGTTACTGTAGTCAAGGACCTCTGGGTGTTAGAAATTTAAAGCATGTTACCTTTATGTTGCATTGGCATAAACATGGATCAATTGTTTGGGGGCTAGGATAAAGGCTTAAAAGTATAAGGAGATCCTGAATGATTAGCAAGGATAAGGTGTAAAGGTCAAAAGAGGTTTGGATTATGGGTTAGAGTTACTAAACAAAATAAAGAAAAAGAAGGCTGGTTTTTGGTTCACAATCAGTATGGTTGTACAACAATTAGAGAGAAGAAGAAAGAAGAAATAGGTAAATTTCAAAAGCAAATTTAATCGACATAGCAACCAAATAGAAATCAGAATATATTGTTGAAACATAAAATTGCAAAAGAGAAAGAAAAGGAAGTACTAGAAAACTGAATCTTTAAAGGAAATAAACCTTCTCAGATGAAATTAAGGAGACTTGCTAAACTTTCAAAATAGTTGGAATCACAGAGGAGCCTTACCTGAACTATTTGTTTGTCCAACTCCCAGCCCCAGGCATGGAGAGATATGTGTCCGTGTTCTAGTTTCTTACACTAATTTAAGGGGGAAAATCCTAAATGAATCACATATTCCTCTTTTAATTAGAATTTTCTTCTTTAGAGTTTTCTTGTGAGTAATTAATTATTCAATTTCCATTCCTTGTCCAATAAGGATCTAAGATTTCTATAAAGGTAGTTTTAGGGATAGGAATTTGAGTATGCCGAGGTAGATAGTGGTCCTCCATTCTTATGCTAGGCACTTTGGTAAGTGAGGATTCATGGAGTGATTTAATGTGTCTGTAGAGCATGTTTCAAGAGAGTTTGAATTTAGTTTTTCTTCTTCTTCTTCTTTCTTATATTTATTTATTTATTTATTATTATTTTTTTTTTTAAGTTTTGGATACTTATTTGTTGAGTTCTTGAATACTTTTGAGTCTCCTTTTCCACATTTTTTTTTGTTGTCTATACAACTCCAAATTTTATTTATTCTTTGTATTGCACAAGAATTATTTTCACAACTTGAATTTGATTGCCCCCAACAAGTGGTACCGAAATCGAATGTTTGGCCTTTGCTATTATATCAAATAATTGGATTTTTGCAGTGGCGGTGAAAGATTTGTATACTTTTGGAAAAAATTGGCAGAGAAAAAAGCCCTAGCTATTGGGAAAAATACATTTTTTTTCTTTTATTGTACTTTTTTTTTTTTCTTTTTTTTATTGCAAGGTTTTGTAGGAAAGTTGACAACTTAATGGGTCTGCAGAATTTAAACCAAGATGGAGTTTAGATTTTTTCTCAAATTCCGTGGTGGAGAATTTAATTCTTAATTTTTTATTTATTGTCTAACAATGAGTTATGTTGAAGTTGGAGAGAGAGAATTCATGTGGCACTGGCCGACACTATTCATATGGAACTAAGGCAAGGATGGTGATGGTGATGATGATGAATGAATTTTGTCGAAGACTGTATAAAAAGGAGTTTTCATGATATGAATTTAGGTTTGTCCAAGGTAGAGAATGGTCTGCCCTTTGTCCCTTGTGGGGAGCATGTTTTGGTGAATGATAATTCATGGGGTAGTTTTATAACATCTTTGCGGCATGTTTTGTGTAGAGAAAGGAAGAAACTCTAAGCTTCTCTTGATAGAGCCTCCGGTTATCATAATTAAGAGAGTTAAGTTTGGGGTTCTCTTCATACTCTCTTTGATTTTTTATTTATTTGTGGATTTTTGCAGAAGATCCAAGTACTTGTAGTCTCCTTTTTTTAGTAAAGCTGTTTGATCTTCATCATCCTAGACATTAGACATAGCCCTATTGGTAGGTGAACCTTGTTAGGTCCCTTGTGCTCTGAGGTTTTTTTTTTTTTTCTTTTGGGATGTTCTTTCGTATATCATTTTGACTTCCAATACAACTCACTCTATACCATTTTGACTTCCAATACAACTCTCTCTCTCACTCTCTCTCACACACACATACAAATATGCTTTTGCAGTTGGAAGCCACCAACAAATAGTATGCTATAAACATAAACGTTAGTAACCAATATAAATTTACATTCAAGTAAAGGACTGGGCTATGGTTAGTTAAGAACTAGAGATGTGAAATGGTACTTTCTAATAAGAACAAGAATATCGGGAAGAGGATATTGGATAACGTATTTCATTGTATGTTTGATAAACCATGTCTAAAATAAGTGGCCTTGTAAGTTTGATGCTTCTGACATAACTTTTCCATTTTACTTGGCCTTTATTTTTCACTCTGTCGCTGGTGATAAAAGAATCAACTACATATGTAGACACATTTACTGATTTACATGCTTCTTTTTTACAATGATATAGGGCCGCATTATGTTGACCACTGATGATGGACCGATATATGTCAACGCTAAGCAGTATCATGGAATAATCAGGCGCCGACAGTCCCGTGCAAAGGCAGAATTGGATAATAAAGTGCTAAAATCTCGTAAGGTACAATTCCTTTATTCAGTATTATCGTTGAGCAATTACCAATGTTCCATTATCTCAAAGAAGGGAAACATATTTATGATCTGATAGATGTGGAAGCTATATATGTGTGGATGCTTGTGCAATGCCTATCACATGTTCATTGAAGATCTGTAATGTAGGGCAAATTTTCCATAATACAGAAAACTTCCTAGTCTGAATTCAACGTGATACAGCTGTCTTAACCAGACTAATTCAATCATTAGTGAGATGCTAATCTTTGATGGTTGAGAATTGGGATGATTGAATTCAGTTGCCCCCAGAAACTTAACAAATTTACATGGAGATTAGGTGTGCTTATCTTAAGCTGTTTTAGAGTCATTTCAAAATTTCAATTTAAGTCTGTTCTCTATATACTAAATTTTTAGTAAGTTAACACTGTTTTATTGTGGACCATACCGAAAGTGATCCCTCGATCGAAGGATTCATGTATTCCATTTTACATCTTTTCTTTAATGATGTTCTCTTTCTTTCTTTCTTTCCTTATTTTTTTGCAAATCCCCTCTTCTCCATGTTTACAATAATTTGGGTTTTGGTTTTGTTCTGCAGCCATACTTGCACTTGTCACGCCATCTCCATGCCATGCGCCGACCTAGGGGCTGTGGTGGCCGCTTTCTGAACACAAAGACATTGAACAGTGGTAAGGATGGAACTGACACAAAAAAGATGGGAGATGGACAACTTTCTCAGTCCACTGGATCTCAGAATTCTGAAGTTCTGCAAACTGATAGAGGAAATATGAACTCACCAAAGGAAGCAAATGGAAGCAGGTCAAATCTTTCTGGTTCAGAGGTGACTAGTATGTACTCAAGGGGAGATTTTGGTCAATTCCGAATCAGTCATCTCCAGCCATCTGTCTACTCTCTGTGTGATATGATGAATGCTGGGCATGGTATTGCTATGGCCAGTAAATGGGTTGCAGCGGCAGATAGCTGCTGCAACCTCAAAGTTTGACAGCAAGGGGAGGGTGGGGCTGGTGTCAAGTTGTTGACACCAAACCCCATCCTTGCTGCAACCAAATGGAGAAGCTCTGTCGCATTTTCTGTTATGGATATTGCGACTGGTTTCGGTTCAAAGGATGGTCCCACCACCATTTGGTTGCTGTCAAAAGGCAAATCATTCTTGGCTCTGCTGCATTAAGGTTGTCTTTGTCATTCCATGCAATCCTGCATTCTTGGGGTGTTTAGAGATGCTTGAGCCTTAATGCAGTTTTAAAAAAAACTGGACAAGCTGATAAATGGGTTTGTTCCCATTTCTTAAATAAGACCATAAAGGTCTGCATCTCGTGTTTGTGATATAGAAAGATGTTGAAAGTATGGTGTTGTTGAAGTTTGGTGTATACAGTCTGGATTTCGAACCTTTGGTGATGTAATGTATCTCTGTTGCTGTCAAAAGGCAAATCATTCTTGGCTCTGCTGCATTAAGGTTGTCTTTGTCATTCCATGCAATCCTGCATTCTTGGGGTGGTTAGAGATGCTTGAGCCTTAATGCAGTTTTAGAAAAAAAAAAGCTGGACAAGCTTATAAATGGGTTTGTTCCCAATACTTAAATAAGACTATAAAGGTCTGCATCTCGTGTTTGTGATATAGAAAAATGATGGAAGTGTGGTGGTGTTGAAGTTTGGTGTGTACAGTCTGGATTTCGAACCTTTGGTGAAGTATTGCATCTTTCGACTTGTTAGTTTTATCATCTCTAATTCTGTGCATTACTGCTATTCATGATTTGCAAATTGATAACACTTTTTACTTGATTGCCAAAAACTTTCTAGTTTCCAATTGCTCCTAAAGAATGTTGGCCATGCCCTAGCCCAGTAGAGGCTTGGCCGCCAATAAACCACCCGATCTTCATGCCCCTGAACCACAGAGCGTAACCTTGATGCAAGAGCTAGATGAAGGTGGGTTAGCCACATGAATTGGAGTAACAGCCATCAAACGTCGCTGCTGATTAATCATTAATGGCAGGTTGTTTAAACTTGATGCAAGAGCTAGGGAGTGAGCCTCCCCTAATGTAGCAGCTAACTCCCTGACAATTACCTGAATCTTCGAATTTCTCTCGGAACACCATAGCTGTTCTGTTGATGGACATGCTTCATCAAAAGCTCCAGAAGATTGACAAAAATCCCAAATATTTGAGTACGCATCCGCTGGAGAGGATCCAAGAACAAATTGTCTGAACTCTTATCAAACCCGAAAGCTCTTATTCCACAACAGATAAGAATGAACATAATCCGGGCAGATGAAATATAGTGTGCCACTTGGGCCTACAAATCACAACTATGATGGAAGACCACATCTCTTGAGGATGTAACATTTTCTTTCATCAGGGTTATTGTGCTCAATCATGTTGTGTTGACACACACAAACTTCATAGAAAAGGTTGCAAGAATAATTACAATAGACTTGGTATAATCAAGTAACTGAAAGTGACATTTTCTGAACAATTTAGGAAATACTACACCACAACGTACGGACGCAAACGCCACTTTGATGCAGACAACAGTAGGAAGAGAGGTTGAAGGAGAAGCGTGGATCATGTGATTCTTCACCTTAAAGCCGGCCAATTAAGGGTTTGTTTGGGATTACTTTTCTATTGTTTAAAAACGTTTTTATTTTAAAAAAATTGCATTTACATGTATTTGGTAGCATTTAGATGTGTTTGGTAACCATTATAAACTTTTAAAATGGTTACCAAATTTAGTTTTAATTTAGTAGAACATTTGAATAAGGACAATACTTGCCTACTCACCAGTGAGTAGGGAGTCTCTACTCACTCAATAGGTGGCAATATAAAATTATGACAAGTGTTTCAAATTTTATAAAATATAACAAAAATAGAACCAAAACGTATTTAATACATTTAAATCGGATTAATTAGATCTTTCTCTCCATATATATCTATACACACACTTGTACATACATAGGTACAAAATTGGCTTTTAAAATAGAGAAAAATTAGGATTCAAGCTTCCTAAAATAATACCTTCAAAAAACAAGATCTTCCTAAAATAATATATTGTTTTTGTTTTTCGGAATCAAAAGATCAAAATTTGGGTTTCACCATAGCTATACAAATATACATACATACATATATATATATATATATATATATATATAAACAAACAAAAATCATATTATTAAAATACCCATTCACCTCCACTTCCAAAGTAATTCTCATTCTCACTGCAACAATTCTAAGTTGGAAAAGAGACGAGTAAGAAATTTTTTTCTTTCTATTCTTCTTTTAGAAAGAAGGGAGTGATGTGAATTTAGTGGAAATTACAAAAGATAATGTTAATCCAATTAAAAATGGGTCAACCCAGTTTTAACTCTATTTTTGTTATATTTATATTTTATAAATTTTTAAAACATTTGTCATAAATTTATTGTGCCACCTACCTAGTAAGTAAAAATTGCCTACTCACGGTGAGTAGGCAAGTATTGTCCTTTGAATAAACCTAAAATTTGAAGCTTAAAAAATTGCAAGTTGACTATTTTTTGTAACTCTTTTTCATTAGACAATTTTATCCATTTTATTTTTTATAACAACAATTACGTCCCTTGCTTAATAAAGTTCACCATATTAAAGGATATTATTGTAAAATTAACAATAAAATGTTTTAAAAAATATTATTACCAAATAAATTAAAAAACAATTTAATTGTGAAAAGTATTTACCGTAATTTTTCTTGACAATTTAATTAATAAAAGCGTTTTCTCTATTCTAAATAACAAAAAATTAAGTTTTGTCTCTACTTATTGAGGCTCATTCAAAAATAAAAAAATGCCAAATTCTAGGTTAAGTTGGAATTGATATTAGTCAAAGCTTAAGCAACAACAGACTCTGAATAGGAGTAGTTGATTAAAGAAGTTTTGAGGGTGTGAAACAAGGTTAGATAGCAAAAGCCTACATTTGGACAATCAACCGGACCATGTAGATTGAAACCAAATCAACCCGCCCCCTAAAACGTACTCCACCAAGTTTCATTGTATTTAAAAAAATGGACCCCCTTCCTTCACACACTTGATTGGATTTTGATTTCACCATTCAAATTTCAATACGCGTGTATAACCAATCATTGTACAACCTAAATACAGTAATAAATTACAAATTACAAATTACAAATTACAAATTACAAATCTTTTCCGCATCATCATATAATTATACGGATGGTAGTTACTTATTTTACGATAAAACACGTTTTCTAGTTACATTTCTCTCTGTACATAATAAATACGTACATGCATACGGGGATATAGTGTATAAGAAACTTCCTATATATCTGTAAATTTACCACCAATTGGGAGAAAAACAGAGACTCAAAAGACCCTTTCCAACTTCCCCTACTTGTTTTCTCTCTCGCACTTTCTAGGATATTTCCTCCGTTTCTCTCTCTACGATTCACCCATCAACATCAGTTGACTTACTTTCTCTCTCTATATCATCCTGTGTTGTAAATATAGATATAGAGAGAGAGAGAGCGAGTCGTTGAACCATTTGATGAGTCGAGTCTTCCCCAATCCGGCAACCATTCAACAAACTACCCCGCGCTTTCAACTATTCTCTCTCTAAAAAAACCATTCATATACCCCTAATTCAGTTTTCCCCATCACAAATTTCACTGCAATAGTAAGTACAATCTTATTACATACATACCTTAGCAATTCAAATTCAATTTACCGATTGAATCTGTGTCTTGTTCGTCTCCGGAAAATTGAAAATGAACGATCTGTTCTCCGGCTCGTTCTCTCGCTTTAAGAGCGAAGAGGACCACTCTCCCGGCAACGTCCAGATGTCGAATCCATCGTCGACCGGCGGTGTCAACCTGGACAGGTTCTTCGAAGACGTGGAGGCGATCAAGGACGAGCTCAGAGAACTCGAAACCCTCTACAACAACCTCCAATCTGCCAACGAGCAGAATAAGACTCTCCACAACGCCAAGTCCATCAAAGACCTCCGATCTCGTATGGACAACGACGTCGCTCTATCCCTCAAGAAGGCCAAGCTCATCAAGGTCCGCCTCGAAGCCCTAGATCGATCCAACGCCGCCAATCGTAGTCTCCCGGGCTGCGGGCCCGGCAGCTCCTCCGACCGGACTCGAACATCCGTGGTCAACGGCCTCCGCAAGAAACTCCAAGACTCCATGAACTCCTTCAACGGCCTCCGGCAACAGATCGCCTCCGAGTACCGCGAGACAGTCCAGAGACGGTACTACACGGTGACAGGCGAGAACGCGGAGGAGGCGGTGATCGACCGTCTGATCTCGACTGGCGAGAGCGAAACGTTCTTGCAGAAAGCGATTCAGGAACAAGGAAGAGGCAAAATCATGGACACGATCATGGAGATTCAGGAGAGGCACGATGCTGTGAAGGAGATGGAGAGGAATCTGAAGGAATTGCACCAGGTGTTCATGGACATGGCGGTACTGGTTCAGGCACAGGGAGAGCAGATTGACGACATTGAGAGCCAGGTGCAGAGAGCCAATTCGTTCGTGAGAGGTGGGACCCAGCACTTGCAGAGTGCGAGGAAGTACCAGATCAGCAGCAGAAAGTGGACCTGTTATGGGATCATCATCTTGCTTGTCATCATCTTGCTTGTGGTTCTCTTTACTGTGAAGCCATGGCAAAATAATGGTAACAACAACAATACACCGGCTACACCATCACCACCGCCACCGGCTGCATAGTGAAATTGATTATAATTATTTTGAGGTATGTATGTATGATAACTTTGAGAGTATTGTCATATTGTTATTCATTTGAGACAGTTTTTGATTGTCGTTATTTTCTTTTCAGTCCTGATAAAAAGAGTGAATCATATTAAATTTCATTATTTCCTTCTCTTTGTGGTATGCAATTGATGTTATGAATGGAGTTCTTAACTACTCAAGATGTTTGGAAGAGAGAATAAAAAACAAACCTAACTTCCAATAAAATAATTGCATTGCTCGTGTGTCACCTCGTTCGCTCCAAGTTTTATCTAGAGTTCACCCTTGTTCTCATCCTGAAATTTCATACCACCTCAAGTGGATGTTTTCTAGAAACCCGTTTGTGTATATATATATATATATATAATAAAATTGAACATGATTCTAGATTTCCTTGTAACCTGATAATTTGATCTCCCTTCCAGGGTATGTATGATTGAACACCAACGAAGTACAACCCATAAAAACCACTTAATTTTGTTATCTGAAAACAATTTCAAAGAACCAAAAAAAACAAAAAAAAAAAAAAAAAAATTGTATTTTCTGCTACCTTTGAGTGTTTAAAAACTAAACAAAAATATGTGATTTTTAACTTTTTCAAATCATTTTTTTAAAATTTTCCTCAACGGAAGTTCTTGCATCACCATCCATCATTGATGACAATTGGGTTATTAACCACTAAAGACTTTGTCATTGGATTTTGCATTTATTTAAAACTAGCATAACATGTGGATGTACATGAACAACTGAACCAATATTAAAGAGCCTTATTGATTTCAAAATATAAAATGGACTTTAAGCCACTTATTGATCGTGAATGTGTTGACGAGTTCGGTACTGGCATTAACTGATAGAGGGAGCCAATAAGTTACATTCATATTTATCGACACCATCGATCCGCATGTCAGTAGGTCCCTGCAATCACCAACAACAAAAGCACCGTTAAATTGTAATTTGATTTGGCCTGAGCTAATTAGGCAGTGATTTTGGAACAAGTAAAAAGAATCACTTACCGATCATGGATTTAGACCACCAATTAAAACAGTTCATACTGAGCTTTTATCCCCACTACCAGGGAAATAAATAAATAATAAAAATTCATCCACCGCTGCTCAAGTATTGTCATCAAAAGTTGAATCAACAAAAACAACTCAAATCCGTTACAAATTGGATTGGCCGAAACATAGTACACTGACAATACGATTGATTCACCTTTATCTTTATTGCCATTATTATTAAGAAAAAAAAAAAATGATCCAAATTTGTCTCCAACTTTCACCCTGCTTTCATGTACTTCCTACTGTTGTATAAAAACACCCTAATTTACAAGCAGAAGATACAAAAAATTAGTACACACAAGATTTCCCCATCCCAAACCGGAGAGAGCCAAAATATAGACAGCGACAAAGCTCAAGCAGATTGCAGCACAGTTAGGTAATATGGGTGACCCGTGCAAGTTCCTGAAAACACTCTCATTCCAGCTGCACGATTTCCTTCGTCAGGAAATTGAATATTCCAGTGCAAACAGTAGTTTGACAAATCATATGTTCCTGGAGAAAATACACTTATCTGGAGAGGGATTTCAATTGTGGATACTGGCTCAAGTTTGAATCGGGTAGAACTTGAACCTGACCAAATGAAAGGGGAAACATACTCTGCTGATATTGATTTCCCAACTCGGCTCCCGATGATATCAGTTGTGACTTTAATGTCGTTCAGCACAGGTATGTCATACCACCCTGCTTGGTTCACAGAAGGTATAGAAGTTGCATCACTTAGTGGGCTACCACCGGGCGCGGAATCATGGGTGCTAATGCGTATTGATACAAGGGTGTCTGAGGAGTTGTGGACTGTCATCCTTAGTTTTATTTCGCATAAAGAAGCAGCGAAGTTATGGTGTATAGTCCGAGGGCCATCCATCAGCCACCATATCGGGCTTGCATTTGCAATGCTGTAATGAAACAAAAAATTGTTACAAAGAGAAACTAAGAAACGAAAAACATCAACATAAAAAGTCAAAATAGGAGTCTTGCCTGCAATGACACGCATGATGAGAAAAAAGAGTAACAGAGGCGGATAGTCCAGGATCGCTATCACTCCTCTGCGGCCGAGTGATCAATATGAAGTCAACTGTATTTGGACAATCCTGATCCATGCATAAGGAACCATTCAGTACAAAAAAGGCTGCAAATCAACATTTGTTCATTGGACGGCCTCAATACACACTTCCCCAAGAATTTAGTGGGTAATCATTTGATTTTGTTCTAGCAATCTAAAAAAAATATTATTAATCAATATTTATTATATAATCAGCCCTACTCTTGGTGTAAATGAGTTTTAATGACCCTATATCTATATGTAGCATGGAATGATGAAACAAGATTCCGGTAACCCACCCATGTTGGCCTATTGTGGTACTGACGGCAGCAATCAAGAAAATACGTTGCAAACAATTAAAATTTTGAATATGAAGCAAGAAAATGGCGAACCTGATCTGACATCCGCTGGTGCGCTTTTTCATAATGGTGAAAATCCGCCAAAGGTGAGCTATATATATCAAACAGTAACTCGCCACTGCCAGGACCCAATCTCACATCAGTTCCCTCTAAAAGGGCAATAGAAGAGACCTTATCTTCAGCAGTTAAAGATTTTCTGCCACTCTGAAGCAAAAACCAATTTAATTGACTTAAAAAAAAAAATACGCAAAAGATAATCTGCTGTAGAAAAGAAATAGATAAATATCCTAAAGGCAGGTCAATGAAAAAAAATATCCTAAATGAAGAGTAAGCTGATGATAGCGTAAATTTGACATGTGACAAAATCGGAAATGGATAACGGCTCAAAGGAGCTGCTTCTAGTACCAACCTTGAGCTTAAAAAAACATGAAAGTGCTTGGCCAGCCATTATAAACTCTGAAGGAAAAATGGTATCAATAGGTTGAAGCAACGAGATCTCCCATTCCTTCCCAACGGTTGACAATTGATGAGCCTGGAAATTCCCAGATTTGGTCCTGTTGACAACATCCATCCGTACAAGGAACTCTTGTAATCTTGAAGGACAAGAGCTGATTTGGAATGAAACATCTAACGACGGTAATACCTATTAAAGAATTAGAAAATGGATGAATGAACAATTCCAAGTACATGGATAAACATCAAAGGCTGAATTGATATAATATTTATTTGTTAAAATAAAATCTGAAGTTTTAACACAGTGAATAATGATAGTTATCCAAATATGAAGAAATAAAAGGTTCTCAGACAAATAGAACTTACTTCATCAGCAAAAAGATATATACGCATTATAACATAAATTTGATTCTTTAAGATAAAAAGGAAAATAAGAGAATGATCAAAATAATTTACATGGCACAACTCATTATGCTATTCAATATTGTTCCAAAAACAGCTGCACACTTCAGCAATTATCAAGCAAAGAAGCCCTCGTCTTTCAAGTTGGAGAGCATACCTCTAAATTGTAATGCATTCGTAGAGTGCGATATCTCATGACAGTCAATATATCTCCCATCTCATAATATATTGTTATGTACAAGGATATCTTTCCAGGAACAGCAGCCCGAAGCCAAAGAGGCCACAGTAAAGGAGTCTCTCCATGAATTGATGTGTCCTGAGAAAAATAATTTATCAAAATGAGGAGGAAGAAGTCCTGATAACAAATTGATATGATTCGCCAACAGGCAATCCACCAGTTAAGACCAGTACTGACCTCCGGAAACAGATATACAGAGTCTAGTGTTTTACAGGTGCTGGCCTGTGCCTCACTTTCCGCAGAATTTGCCCTCTTCTCCAGGCACGCAGGAAATTCCATGTTCATAACTTCCTTCTTCCCTATATTTAAATATCTTGGATGGCTTATCTTCAACTTTATGTTCTGCCAAAAGAAGTTATGATTCATAAACTGAATACAAGTGTCATTCTTGGACCCCAATGTGATGTCTCCAAAGGGTAATGCTAATCCACACATAAATACAGAAAAGATGAACTATGTTTGATGAGAAAGCAGAGATGCCTATATGTACAGTGGCTGTTCAAAGGAAGATGGCCTTCATAGTTGGCCATTCTCTAGCTTATGTAATAGTACTTCTTAACTATTAAAGCATTAGAACACTTCCAACTACAGTAAACAGTCGAATTTACTTGTGAATGATTGAGAGATGACTACCTTAGGAAACAGGATTGGCACAAATGCACAAGTTCGTGAGTACAACAGGCATGCATAGGATAAGCAATTGCTACCATTTAAATACTTGAACCGCAAAGTCATACCTTCACAGAAGTTTCTGATGGATTTCTCAACTCTAAAGCAAGACGCCGTAAATCGCCTGCATAAACTGTTTTCGGTAGGTGGCGGATGAAACCCTCAAGCTTAGGTAGACTCTGGAGAATAAGGAAGTATTACCAAGCAAAACATACAAAAATAAGAGAATGCCAAATCAACATTACTTAAGAGAATGCCAAATCAACATTACTTTGTCTAAATTTTCTATGTCGGAAATAAAGAAGCGAAAAAGAAAAAGCAATGCACCTTAATCACAACAAACTTCAGGTTGTCACTGACAGGCTGCTTAGCTTTCCTTTTTCCCTTTGCAACTTTCTTGTTTACTAATTCAGGCTCGAAGTTATAAAAGCCAACTACTGAACCTGACAACTTCCACCTTAAACCAACTATTTTTAGGACGCCTTCTACTCTGGGAGTAACATTTAGTTGTGCCTGGAAATTATCAGTGAAAAAAAAAATGAAATTTTACAAAATCTCGGATGATAATATAAACACCCATCAAAACTAGTCATTGACAGACTGAATTTGGGCATCTAGTAAGCAACAGAAAAGAAAATCTTGAAAATAAAAATTAAAAATTAAAAATTGTAGGCAGCTAAATATAAAACACATGTAGACTGCACCATCAAAAGTAGCAGTTGCATTGCAACAGCCAATTTGACAGACAGATTCTGGAACAATAGAACAGAACATATTAAAATAGACATATCGCTAACTGCTTTACTGAGTAATAGGCTGCTGCATAAAAGAAAAAGCATGTAGATTGACAAAAAGAATGTAAGCATTCAAAATAAGATTCTAAGAAATAGAAAAGGACATCTAGCAATAAGATATGACACTAGCTGCTTGGCTTGTCCCCCTCCTTCCTCCTTTTGGTTTATTGTAAACAATTCTAAAAGCTATAGTTAAAAATTAGGGCTAGCCCATGTGAGTTGGAGCTTCCTTCTATACTTGATGGAGAGGATGGGGTTTGGAGTGAGATGGAGAAAATGGATTCAGCTTTGTATTTCCAGTGCTCGCTTCTCTATTCTTGTGAATGGAGCTCCGACGGGGTTCTTCACTAGTTCGAGGGGCGCCTTTTTTTTTTTTTTTTTTGATAAGTAAGAATTTATTAAAAACGCTCAAAAGGGGAGCGAAGCCCAAAGAAACAAAAGGGCCAAAGGGCGCTTGAGACCTTCAGAGAGGCCAAGAAAACAATAATTTCCTCCATAGATCTATAATCTCTCCCTGAAACCCAACAAAAAAGAGTAGAAATAACAGAGAACTTAAGCATAGAAACAGGCTTCTTTTTTCCGCTTTCACCTTTCTTGTTCCTCTTTGTGATGGAGGCCCTTAGTAGACTGATGAAGAGGGTTGTTGAGTTGGGTTTTCTGAGAGGCTTTAGGGTAGGCAGGGATGCTGCTAATCAGTTGGAGATCTCCCATTTGATGTTTGCGGATGATACTTTAGTGTTTTGTGATGCGAATGTGTCCCAATTAAGATATCTGAGATACGTTTTGATCTGGTTCCAAGTTGTCTCCGGGCTTAAGGTGAATGTCGGAAAGAGCACTTTGGTGCCCGTTGGCGAGGTCCCTGAGATTGCGATGTTTGCAAATATACTTGGATGTTGTATTGGCTACTTTCCCATCTCTTATTTAGGTTTGCCCCTTAGAGCACCTTCGAGGTGTATGGGGAGTTGGGATCCTATTGTGGATAGATACGAGAAAAGACTAGCGGGTTGGAAGAAGCAATACCTTTCCAAGGGTGGACGGGTTACCCTGATAAAGAGCACCCTTTCATGCTTTCCCACGTATTTTATCTCTCTATTTCAGATTCCCTCTTCTGTAGCTGAGAGGATTGAGAGATTGCAGCGAAATTTTCTATGGAGGGGGAAGGGAGGAGGAGTTCAAGTTTCGTCTAGTTCGCTGGGAGCAAGTGTGCAAGCTAATTCAGAGTGGAGGTTTCGGGTTTAGAAGATTGGTGCCTTTCAATAAGGCTCTCCTTGGGAAATGGCTGTGGAAGTTTGGGGCTGAGAGGCATTGGCTTTGGAGGACGGTTGTAGCGAGAAGATATGGGGAGAGTAGAGGAGGGTGGAGCTCTCGAGGTGCGTGGTCCAAAGGGTGTGGGGGTTTGGAAATTCATTCAAAAGGGGTGGGATGAGTTTTCCAAACATAATAGATTTCGACTCAAGGATGGTAGGAGGATCAGTTTCTAGGAGGATGTTTTGTGTGAGGATCGTTCTCTTGCTCTCGCTTTCCCATGGCTCTTCAGGATTGCTACGGATAGGCAAGCCATAGTGGTCAACTATTATCATCTTGATAGCGGGAGATCGTCTTGGGATGTTCGTTTCAGGAAGCACTTTCAAGACTGGGAAATTGAGGATGCCACTGGTTTTTTGGAGTTGTTGTATCGCTAGGAGATTATGGTCGGAGATTTTGATAGCTAGATTTAGGCCTCTGACTCTCAGGGTTGTTTCGATGTTCGGTCCTTCTTCAGGTGTCTCATGGAGGAGCCTGAAGGTCCTTTCCCATGGAAGATTTTAAACCAGGATAATTTGAGGAGAAGGAATCAGGTAGTGGTCAATATGTGCCTACATGATGAGGAGACAGTGGATCACCTTCTTTTACATTGCACCATGGCCAGGGACTGTTGGGATTTGATGCTTGGTTTGTTTGGGATTCACTGGGTTATGCCCAGATCCTCCAGAGGGTTGATTGAGGCTTGGAAAGGTTGAACACTGGGGGCACATATTCAGGATGCTTGGAGGGCTACGCCTCTGTGTGTGGTGGTGTATTTGGCTCGAGAGGAATAGGAGATATTTCGAAGGAAAGGAGATGCCTATTTCTATGCTTAAATTCTTTATTCTTTCCACTCTTTTTTGTTAGGCTTCAGGGAGAAATTATAGATCTTTAGAGGAGATTGTTGATTTTTTTTCCTCTTTGAAGGCTTAGAGGCCCTTTTTGGCCTTGTGTATTTCTCTTGGGCTTCGCTCCCCTTTTGAGCGCTTTTATACAATTTTAGTTGTCAAAAAAAAAAAAAAAAAAAAAAAAAAAAGGGCTTGCCCAGTGCAGGAGCTATATTTAAAAAGAAGTCAACAAAATGCTTTAAGTTTGCAAAAGCAGCAATAAAAAGAGAAATTTCAATATGAGTCTCACCCAGAGGCCACATATAAAGTTTCACTAATCTCATCAGGGAAAAACAGTGCACAAGAAACAAGAATATTCAAACAAGAAACTAAAATATTCAAACTAATCCTCATACTAAAACTGCGTTTGTGAACTCTATACTGGGAGTGTAGTTCAACAGATTCAACTTCAAGAACAGTTGAGTTTTACTTAACTTCGCATTTTATCAAAATGATTAAGCCCAACAGGAATCAGATCTAGTAGTTCCTTGGTGTTTGACAATTTAAAGGTGCTGATTGGCTTGTCGGTCGTCTACCTCTGATGGGTCAACTGGATTCAGTCTTATTCGGCACAACACACAAGCATGGTCTACAGCTCCAACTAAATCAAAATCATGTCTCCTTTCTTACTATAAACACATATTGATCAGTGGCTTGATAGTCTATATTTAGTGCACACTAAAAATTCAAGGGAAACAATGAAAATTTCCATTGTATTTGAAGAATCGCAAAATATTTGAACATTCAGAATTTTACTTGCATATGAAATGTGTGATGTTTTCACATTAATTCTTTACACAGATTCTTTTAGAGATTCCAGACACCTGATTGTTTTGCAAGCAACTTTAGCGAACAATCATGAAGGCCAAAATACATTATGCTTTTGATCAGTTGGTAGCTAGTAGTAACTAACTACTGGAAGCCAGATCAAATTAATCATATCATATGGACTCCTTACTTTTAAGACACGTCAACATCCATAGAAGAAGAAGAAGAAGAAGAAGAAGAAACCATACCAAAGATAAATTAATTACTATAATGTTACTGAAATGAAATTTCTGTAACTAGCATAAATTAAACACACAATAAATCTTCTCTTGTTTAGTCGACTCTTAAGCAAAACTCACCACAACTGTTTCGCCTCCCCCCAGTGAAATGTCAACCTCAGACAATGTAAATGAGTTGTCTGCACTCCAATCCCTGAAGTTAAGCAAAAACACTCCTTAGCAATTTTAAGCGCAATGGAAAGAGATGTGAAGACAGTGAGGTCGTGTTTATCAAATGAACAACATCCTTGAAGAAGAGAAAAACCATCAAAAGTTAAATATGCATACCTACTCATGGTTAACTTCTTCTTTTCCTCATTAGTAGTAGAGCTACTTGCATCTGTATCATTGAAATAGCAATTATCTAAATCTGCTGAATAAATGTACCAATCTTGGACCTAAAACAGAAGAAACAAAGGGGGAAAAAAAGGAACAAACAGAAAAAATATAAATAAAATGGCACCATTTTGACCTACCAGGTTCCATTTCATCAGAAGTAGAATGCTCACATATCAGGGAAACACCCGAGATGGAAATAGTGATTTGAAGAGGATTTTTAAATCCAATATCTACCTTGATTACTTCTGCAAGTGGATGAAGCACAAGTAATGAAGTAATCATAATAAAGTAATAACACAGAGTACATCTCTTACTGTTTCTTTATTTCATACTAAGAGATTGTTCTTTATCGACAAAAAATAAAAAATAAAAAAATCTGAAAGGTTGCACCATTTGTGAAAGATCAAAGGCTAGGTCTGTCTCAATCCGCCCCTCCCCACCACGGCCCTGGGGCGCACCAGAACTAGGTAATACCCTTTAATGCCCATTACGATTGGAGAATTGATTCCTAAGTTTCTCTATTGCATGTGCCAGATGAACTCATAGAATAATTCTTTCATTCCCTACAACAAACGTAGTCACCTATAGAAGAAACCTATACTGGATCATAGGCATGAGAGAGAGAAACTAATCATTACAAATCTCTACGTCATGTCCAATCACAGTCTATAGAATTAAGATTGGTAACGGGTTGCGACAAGCTTGTACAACCATTATAGGCAAGTGCATTGTATTCAACTAAAGAGTCACTCACCCTTTAGAACAATCTATGAATTTTTTTCCAAGCCCCATGGTAAAACTCAATTTACGAATCTCACAACAAAGTTCTTGTCTAAAATTTGTTTTGTCCAAACTCTAAATCAGCAGCAGTGGCTCAAACTGGTCCATAACATAAAAGCAACAAAATGAGCAAATTTCCTCTGCGTGCTCAAAAATGTTGGTATTGAGCCCCACAAATAGGAAAAACAGAGAGGTCAGAGTCGTCCTAAAAAACAGCTAAAAATGAACAATTTGAGTTATAAATATAAGCTTTACGCTTTAAGAATTACAGTGAAACAGGACCTACTAACCATTGGGGATAATAAAGTCATCCTTAAAATAGCGAACCTTTCTATGTAATTTCAAATTGTACTAGGCTTTTCAATTCACGTCAATGTTGAAGAAGGTTCTTAAAAAAAACGTGAAATCATACCATCTAATTATGGAACTACGACAGAAATAGTACAACCTTCATATCATTATAGACAAGTCCACGTGGTTGGCGCTCAGGATTTGTCCGTTCCCAATGGAGACCAGCTGTCCCCACGGTCAATTCAAATTTCACTTCAAATTTGGCTTCCCATTCAGTTGGGCCTGTTGGAAGGCTTGGTGTCGAGGCTACTATCTCTTGCAATGGTGGGCCTAAGTCTGTTGGGCCGCTTGTTGGGCCTGAAAGGCCTATTTCAGTTTCTAAGAGGCCTAGTTCAGTTTCTTTGGGATCTGAATGTGATGTGCAAGTTCCTTGTGCTGTGGTTGGTGGGCCGAGCGTCCAGTCTTCTAAAGAAGTTAATGTTGACGGGTCTGCGGGATTAAAGGTGGGCCGAGTTGTGGATCTGGGCCGGTGTCTAACAGGTTTGAGCCCTTGCCCTCCTTGCGAGATGATAGAGCTCCTTGTGTTGCTGGGTCGATGAAAACGAGAACGAATGTTGATCGGCGAGTGAAGGTTCCGGTCCTGAGGCGTCGGTTGCCGAAGAAAAAGGTGATTCTTCCCGCTTTTCGTAAGAAATGGTCACGAAAGGATAAGCAAAAATGGGTGGTATCTTCGCAATCCGGTTTTGAATCGGGTATGTTTTCAGTTCCTTCTGGTTCTTCTCCTATTAAACCGTGTTTCTCTTCTTCTTCTTCTCCTTTTTTGGGGGAGTCGACAATGTCTTTGGAACGGGTGAAGGGTGGGACAGCTTCTGCTTCGTTCTCTAAAGAATCGGAGGCTGAGAGGGACTCCGTTCTTGTGGACAGACAGGATGGTGATTCTGGGTTTAGACGTGGTTTCTCTCGGCGAGGTGAAGGTTCGTGAGAGGGAGTTACAGTTTGTGTTGGTCGGGATGTAAAGGTGAAGCTTGATGATGATATGGCTGCCTTTCTGTTGAAGGAGATACGGGACCATTTGGCGTCGAAAGGCTTTCTTAGTGATTCAGGAGAAGTTTTGACAGAGGAGGAGCCTGTTTCACAGTTTTGCTCGCATTCCTCTTCTGTTCTTGATGATTGGAAGGGAGCTGCAGGTTCTTCTCTAGATGGTGACTCAGGCATGATTCCATGGGAAGACTTGGAACAAGCAGTGAATTTGGCTGTTCCTTTGGCTGTTGTTCCGCCTGGAGGTAATTGGGTTAGCAACTCGAATGTTGTCGGAGTGAATGATCTTGAGGAGGAGTGGGTAAGGGAGAAGGGATTGGAAGTGGGTCCTTTGTTGGGGGTTTCTTTTGAGGGTAGAGTGGATGAGGCACTGTGTTTGTTTAATGATGTCCTCAATTCTCATTTTCAGGAAAAAGCAGGTGGTAAGATAAGGTTGCAGGAGGAGAGAGGGGAGACAGTGTTGAGGGGAGACAGTGTTGCAAAGCCCCAATGATTTTATCACGTATGAAAGGAGAAATAGGGGGTCCAGATCAGGAGGGAGAGGTGGTGGAAGGAAGGGAGGGTTTGCTTTCTAAAGTGTTTCCCTATGAAGTTACAAATTCTTTCATGGAATGTCAGGGGTCTCAATGATCCGGTTAGGAGGAAAGTGGTGAAGTCGGTTTTTCATAAAGGTCGGGGTCATGTGGTACGTCTCCAAGAGACCAAACTTTCTTCGATGTCTGATAGGATTGTGAAGAGTCTTTGGGGTGGGAGATTTGTGGAGTGGATTGTTTTGGATGCTATTGGTTCCTCGGGGGGCATCTTGATCATGTGGGATAACAGAGAGGTGTCTAAAGTGGAGGCTCAGGTGGGGCGCTTCTCTGTTTCTTGTGTTCTTGCTTTGGCTGTTTATGGTCCTTCGGAGGATGGTGTGCACCACTTGCTTTGGGAGGAGTTGGGGGAGATTAGAAGTCGATGGTGTTTGCCTTGATGTATTGGTGGGGACTTTAATGTGGTTCGCTCTCCTTTTGAGAGGTCAACGGGTGGTAGGTGGACGTCTGATATGGTGGCTTTCTCGGAGTTTATTGATGAATTCGGGTTGGTTGATTTGCCTCTGGTTGGAAGGCCGTTTACTTGGTCCAGTGGCCATACCCCTCCTACCCTTTCCCGGATTGACAGATTCCTTGTGTCGGGGGAGTGGGAGGAGAGGTTCTCGGAAGTTGTTCAAGCATCGTTGCCTCGTCCTATCTCTGACCATGTTCCGTTGTTGTTGGATTGTGGCGGGTTGTGCAGTAGACGATCTCCTTTCAGATTTGAGAATATGTGGTTGCAGGCTGAGGGCTTTCTTGAGCGGGTTCGTCTTTAGTGGGAGGGGTATGGTGTGGTGGGTACCCCTAGTCATCTGCTTGCAGGCAAATTGCGTCTTTTAAAGGAGAATCTTAAGACTTGGAATAAAGAGGTCTTTGGGAATCTGGAATGGAGAAAAAATCGGGTTCTTACGAAGATTGTGGCTATTGACCGTATGGAGGGTCAAGGGGATTTGGTTGAAGCTTTGAAGCTTAGGAGGGCAGAATGCAAAGCCGAGTTTTCTGAGATTGCTATCATGGAGGAGATCTCGTGGAGGCAAAAATCTCGAGCCTTATGGCTCAAGGAGGGGGATAGAAACACGAAATTTTTCCACAGATTGGCCAATGCTCATAGAAGAGGAAATCACATAGGGAGGATTGGGGTTGAGGGGGTTACTCTTTGTAAGGAGGAGGACATCTTCAAAGGAATTTCAGAGTTCTTTGAGAAGTTGTTCTTTGAGACTGTTGAGTGGAGACCTTTGCTTGAAGGGTTGCAGTTTGCCTCTATTTCTGAGGAGGAGTGCTTGGGTTTGGAGGTGCCTTTTTCTAAGGAGGAAGTGCTGATTGCTTTGAAGAGCTGCAATGGGGATAAGGCCCCAGGTCCAGATGGTTTCACCATGAGGTTTCTTCTTGATTGCTGGGAGGTGGTTAAAGGAGAGGTGATGGGCACTTTCCATGCTTTCCATTCTCGGGGATTTTTTGAGAAAAGCTTGAATGCCACGTTCATTGCTCTCATTCCGAAAAAGGGGGGGGCATTGGATGTGAGGGATTTTCGCCCTATTAGTTTGGTGGGTTGGATCTACAAGTTAATTGCCAAAGTGCTCGTTTCTAGATTGAGGAAAGTTTTGGATGGTATCATTTCGGACTCTCAAAATGCTTTTGTAGGAGGCCGTCAGATTTTGGATTCAGTCCTTATTGCTAGTGAGTGTGTGGACTACAGATTGCGTAGTGGGGTCCCAGGTGTTCTTTGTAAGTTGGACATTGAGAAAGCGTATGACCATGTGAGTTAGAGCTTTCTTCTGTACTTGATGGAGATGATGGGGTTCGGTGATTGGTGGAAGAGATGGATTCAGTTTTGTATTTCCAGTGCTCGCTTTTCGGTCCTTGTTAATGGTGCTCCTACCGGTTTTTTCTCTAGCTCAAGGGGCTTGAGACAGGGGGATCCTCTCTCCCCCTTCTTGTTCTTGCTTGTGATGGAGGCCCTTAGTAAATTGATGCGAAGGGCTGCTAATTTGGGTCATGTGAAAGGCTTTCGGGTAGGTAGGGATGCTGCTTCTCAGTTGGAGATCTCTCATTTGATGTTTGCTGATGACACTCTGGTTCTTTGTGATGCGAATGTGTTCCAGATTAGATATCTGAGATGTGTCTTGATTTGGTTCCAAGTCGTCTCCGGCCTCAAGGTGAATGTGGGCAAGAGCGTTTTGGTGCCGGTTGGGGAGGTTCCTGAGATTGAGACTTTTGCTGACATCCTTGGATGTCGCACTGGTGCTTTTCCCATTTCTTACTTAGGTTTGCCTCTGGGAGCTCCTTCGAGGTGTGTGGGGATTTGGGATCCAGTTGTGGATAGATTTGAGAGAAGGTTGGCAGGTTGGAAGAAGCAGTATCTTTCCAAGGGCGATAAGGTCACTCTGATTAAGAGTACGCTCTCTAGCCTTCCCACTTATTTTATCTCTCTTTCAGATTCCATCTTCAGTTGCGGAGAGGATTGAGAGGTTGCAGCGTAATTTTCTGTGGGGGGGCAGAGGTGAAGAGTTTAAGTTCCATTTGGTGAGATGGGATCAAGTATGCAGGCCTATTCGGAATGGTGGGCTGGGTCTTCGTAGATTGGTGCCCTTTAATAAGGCCCTTCTTGGAAAATGGTTGTGGAGGTTTGGTGTGGAGAGACATTGGCTTTGGAGGAGGGTTGTGGAGAGACATTGGCTTTGGAGAGATGAGAGGAGGGTGGAGCTCTTTGGAAGTTAGAAATCCTCGGGGGGTGGAAGTTTGGAAATTTATTCGGAAGGGTTGGGATGATTTTTCCAAGCACATTCGGTTTCGTCTTAGAGATAGGAGGAGGATTTGTTTTTGGGAGGATGTGCGGTGTGGTGATGCTCCTCTTGCTCTTGCCTTTCCTCAGCTTTACAGGATTGCTTCGGATAGGCAGGCCTTGGTGGTTAACTTTTATCATCTTGATAATGGGAGACTGGTTTGGAATGTTCGATTCAGGCATGCCTTTCAGGATTGGGAGATTGATGAGGCAATTCGTCTCTTGGAGTTGTTATATCGCCAGAGGATTGTGGTGGAGGATTCGGATTGTTGGTATTGGGTCGCAAACTCCAAGGGGCGTTTTAAGGTGATGTCTTTCTTCAAGTGCCTCTCTTTTGATCCTGGAGTTCGTTTTCCTTGGAAGTCTGTTTGGCGTTCTAAGGCTCCTCTCGAAGTGGCTTTCTTTGTGTGGACTTCGGTTCTGGGTAGGATCTTAACCCAAGACAATTTGAGAAGGAGAAGCCAGGTGGTGGTCAATCGTTGTTATATGTGTCTTCGTGATGAGGAATCTGTGGATCACCTTCTTATTCATTGCTCTTTGGCTAGAGAGTGTTGGGATTTGATGCTTGGCTTATTTGGGTTTTATTGGGTTATGCCAGGATCTACTATAGAGTTGATTGAGATGTGGAGAGGTTGCCATGTGGGGGCTCTCAGTCAAGATGAGTGGAGAGCTACGCCGCTTTATGTGTGGTGGTGTATTTGGCTTGAAAGGAATAGGAGATACTTTGAAGGAAATGCGATGTCGATTTCGGTGCTTAAATTCTCGATTATTTCAACCCTTTTTGTTGGGTTTCAGGAAGAGATCATAGATCGTTGGGGGAAATTATTGATTTTTTGGCCTCTATGAAGGCTCGAGTCCTTTGTGCTCTTTTGTATTTCTTTGGGTTTCGCTCCCCTCTTGAGCGTCTTTTAATAATATTCTTTTATTTATCAAAAAAAAAAAAGTGCATTGTATTCAACAAAAAAGTTACTCACCCTTTACAACAATCTATGAAATTTTTTTCCAAGTCCCGTGGTAACACTCAACTTACGAATCTTACAACAAAATTCTTGCCTAAAATTTGTTTTGTCCAAACTCTAAATCAACAGCAGTGGCTCAAACTGGTCCAACATAAAGGACACAAAATGAGCATACATCCTCTGCGTGCTCAAATTTGTTGGTATTGAGCCCCACAAATAGAACTAGTGGAAAAGCAGACAGATCAAAGGAGTTTTAAAAAACAGCTAAACATGAACAATTTGAGTTATAAATATAAAGAATTACAGTGAAACAGCCATTCGGGGTAGTAAAGTCATCCTTAAAATAACCTTTCTATGTAATTTCAACTTGTGCTAGGCTTTTCAGTTCACACCAATGTTGAAGAAGGTTCTTAAAAAAAACGTGAAATCGTACCATCTAATTATGGAACAACAATAGAAATAGTACAACCTTCATACCTCCTGCCACACAAATATTTGATCTTTTATGCTTTTTTGATATAAGCTTTGGTTGTGATTCTAGCCAGTTAGTCTTGATGGTAGATAGTGATGGAATGATGTCCTCCTCCAAAGACTGCCAAAAACTCTCTCTAACACTAACCTGGAATCATGAAACAAGAAGAAGAGAAACGACCAGGTCTAATTATTTAAAGCAAATCTGCAGCCTAAAGAAGCAATGCTTCCCCAGTTTCAAATTATAAATGCAAAAATCTCTTAGTATGCAGAGATGATACTTGCAGCGCCCCCGACCCCAACACAAAAATGAATGCAGCACAATCTGTAATATTTGAAAACTCAATATACACACAAAACTCATAATTAATAATTAGCATGAATGCCAAGGCAATTAACATATCATCCACATTTGTAGCATTATTCCTACCTGAAAAAACAAAAAAAAATATATATATATAAAGGAAAGCCAGTGTTATAGTTCAATGTCATTGACACATTCGAGTCGTTAGCACTTAGTGGAGGAGATGATTGCAAATAGCAAAATTAAATTACCTTAAAACCTTCAAATATTTCAAAAGGATGAAAAGCTTTCCAGTATTGGGATTATCATTAAAGCCACATTTAACTAATAAAGGTTTCAGGTTTTTTTTTTTTTTTTAAAATAAAATAAAAAATAAAAAATAAAAAAAGTAATAAAGGTTCAAGGGTTATTCTTAGGAAAAAGAAGGTTATTCTTAGCAAGAAGACTGAACCTTTAATTTCATTACTTGACAAATACCCAGGAAAAAAAAAAAAGTAAGCAAGCAAGACAATTCAATGAGTCAAATTTTCTGCTTCAGTATCGCATCATTTTTTTTTATTAATAAGTAATAATTGAAATAAAATAGGCGTTCAAGAGGGGAACGCATCCCTTATACAAAAGTGGAACTAGGGATTAAGATCCCAAGGAAGCCAAAAAAATAATTAAATCTTCGGAAGAAGAACAGGACTTCCTCTTCACATAACTAAAAAGAGAGCGTATGATGTAAAGTTTCAGAATCGCCGTGGACGATTCTTTCCCTTCAAACATTCTACTATTCCTCTCCTTCCAAATGCACCACCAAACACAATGTAGTACAACTCTCCAATAATCGCGAACAGCACTGCTCACACTGCATCCTCTCCATATACAAATCAAATCCTTAGGATAACGAGGCATAGCCCAATGCATACCAAACAGACAAAAGATAAGATTCCAACAATCCCTCGCCGTAGGACAATGCATGAGAATATGAGCAACTGACTCACCATCTTGTTTGCACAAGCAACACCAATTAACAAGACAATTGCCCCTTTTCCTTAGATTATCAATCATAAGGATCTTACCCCAAACAGCGGTCCAAACAAAGAATGTCTCTCTAGTTGGAGCCATAGAACGCCAAATAGTCTTCCATGGAAAATCAACAATATCGAAATCAGAAAGACATTAGAATAAGGAACGAACTTCAAAGCGACCATGGGAAGAAGGAATCCATATCATATCATCACTACCTCTGCCAACTGTCTCCTGTCGGTACAACAAATCCAGGAAAACACATACCTCGTCCACCTCCCAATCCTGAAAAGAGCGTCGAAATTGCACGTCCCACGTCATCCCTCTGCTATCAAGGTGATAACAGTTGGCTACGTAGGCAAGTCTATCAATTGCAATACTGTATAACTTGGGAAATAAACAAGATAAAGGCCAATCTCAACACCAAAGATCCTCCCAAAACGTACACATCTGCCATCACGAACTTTGAATCTGATATGAGTAGAAAAAGCGTCCCATCCCTTTCTTATGAATTTCCACGCCCCAACTCCTCCCACAAGAGAAACCGGACGAGTAGACCAACCACCACTCTCTTCCCCATATCGACATGAAACAAGCCTTCGACAAGAGCGATGTCTTTCCCTTCCATACCTCCACAGCCATTTACCCAGAACAGCTTGGTTAAAGGGGACCAGTCTTCTGATGCCAAGACCACCAAACTTCATTGGCTTACAAACGTGTTCCCATTTGACAAGGTGATACTTCAATTCATCACCTCTTCCACCCCAAAGGAAATCCCTTTAAATTTTTTCAATCCTATCAGCAACAGAGCATGGAATTTGGAACATAGATAAAAAATATGTGGGAAGGCTCGATAAAGTGCTCTTTATAAGCGTAACTTCCCTCCCTTAGACAAGTATTGTTTTTTCCATCCTGCTAATATCTTCGCATACCTATCAATCACAGGTCCCAGCACCCCACCGTTCTAGAGGACCCCTAAAGGCAAGCCCAAATACGGAATTGGAAAAGAACTCACCCTACACCCAAGGACTTCCGCTAAAGAAAAAATATCCTAAACATCTCCAATCGGAACAAGCACGCTTTTAGCCACATTAACTTTCAGACCAGAGAAAGCCTGAAAACAGGCCAAAATGCACCTCAGATATTTAAGCTGAGACATATTAGCATCACAAAAAACGAGGGTGTCATCCGCAAAAAGTAAATGAGAGACCTCCATCTGATGGACAGGATCTCTTCCCACCATAAAGCCCTTGATAAGATCAAGATCCTCTGCTCTTTGCATAAGTCTGCTTAAGCCCTCCATAACAATAAGAAAGAGGAAAGATGATGGGGAATCTCCTTGTCTTAAACCCCGAGAGCACCCAAAGAAACCAGCAGGAGACCCGTTCACAAGAACAGAGAATTTGACAGACGAAGGGCATGTCTCAATCCATTTCCTCCATTTACTTCCAAACCCCATTCTCTGAAGCAAATAAAGCAGGAAATTCCAATTCACATGATCATACGCTTTCTCAATGTCAAGTTTACACAAGACTCTAGGAACACCACTTCTCAATCTGGAATCCACACATTCACCTGCAATAAGAACTGAATCAAGAATTTGTCTTCCTCCAACAAAAGCATTATGGGAATCTGAAATAATCCCATCCATCACTCCCCTCAACCTAAGAGCAAAAACCTTAGCCAGAAGCTTGTAGATACATCCCACTAAACTGATAGGACGAAAGTCTTTAATGTCAAAAGCACCTCCCTTTTTAGGAATAAAGGCAATGAAGGTTGCATTAAGTGACTTCTCAAAGGCACCAGTAGAATAAAACTCCAGAAAAGCGCCCATGACATCGTTTTTCACAACTGTCCAACTTTCCAGAATAAACCGCATAGTGAACCCATCTGGCCCCGAAGCTTTGTCCCCATTACAACTAGATAAGGCCTTTAGAACTTCTTCTTCAGTAAAAGGATTCTCAAGCCCTTCCCTATCAATCTCGGAAATGGCCTTAAAATGAAGACCATCAAGTTTAGGTCTCCAAGCAAGCGGTTCGGTATAAAGCTTCTGATAAAAAGAAGCAATCCCATTACGCACATCTTCCTCCCTCCACAACTCTACACCTTCCACCTGAATACGTCCTATATGATTACTTCTTCTATGAGTGTTAGCGAGTCTATGAAAAAAATTTGTATTGCAATCTCCCTCTTTTAGCCAAAGAGCCCGGGATTTTTGTCGCCAAGATATCTCCTCCATACTAGCAATCTCAGCAAAAGCTGTCTGACAAAAAGCTCTCCTAGAACGCAAAAACTCCACATCCCCACCCGCCTCTTCTAGGCGATCAATCTCATAAAAATCAGCAAGGACTCTACTCTTCCTCCATTCAAGATTCCCAAAAACATCTTTATTCCACTTTTTAAGATTGAATTTGAGAGCCTTCAACTTTTTAGTTAACATGAAACTAGATGAGCCTATGACAACAACTCCCTCCTACCAAGACTGAACTTTCCCTTGGAAGTCCTCCGCTCTTAGCCACATATTCTCAAATCGAAACGGAGACCTTTGAGAACTCAAACCTCCACAATCTAAAACCAAAGGAACATGATCAGAAATGACCCGAGCTAAAACTGCTTCAGGGAATTTCTCTTCCCACTCCCCAGAAATCAAGAAACGATCCAGCCTTGGAAAAGTAACTGGATCCCTGCCATTTGACCATGTATAAGATACGCCTTCCATAGGTAAATCAAAGCGAAAATGCTCGTCAATGAAATCAGAAAACTGACCCATTTCAGAAGACCTCCTACCTCCTGTGGACCTCTCTAATGGGAATCTAACAGAATTGAAATCCCCACCCAAGCATTAGGGAAGAGACCACATTTCTTGAGCATGATTAAGCTCCTCCCAGAAAAAAGGCCAATTAATATCAACAACTGGTCCATAGACCCCAGTGAAAACCCAACTGAAATTGTCCTCTTCCAATTTGAACTTGCAAGACACTGACCACCCACTCATCCAACCGAGACACCCATCTACAATCCCACATAACTAAAATACCGCCCGAAGTACCTGTAGCATTCAAGACCTCCCATTCTACAAACCTTCCTCCCCACAAGCTCCTAACCACCCCATCTGTGATGGATGCCAACTTTGTTTCTTGCAAACAAACAACTTGGGCCCCCCACTTCCTCACAGCAACCTTAACCACCCTCCTTTTATTCGGGTCGTTGAGACCACGAACATTCCAAGAAATAATTCGTAGCTTCATTAAAAACCAGATAAGATAATCTCCCTTCCTCCTTTCTTCGTCCTCCGACTCCTAGTCCTTCCCCTCTCCTTCACCACCCCTTTCTTTCTTTCATAATTGACTTCAGAGATATGATTCTTGATCTCCTGTGCCCCTTTCCAGGCTGATAAAGGCCTCGGGTTCACTACCTCTTCAGTCACAGCTACCTCTCTGCCTTCCACTATTGCTTGAAGAATGGAAAGTGTCTGATTACTGTTTCCCTCTGAAGAAACACCTAGCAACTCACTAGCAGCTCCTATGTTTTCAATCATCCAGTGCTTACCCAAATCAACATTTGTTACTGAACAGCCAGATCTCTCAATTGCCAAAGGTTTCTCCTCTATCACTTCAAAGAAATCATTCTCCATCCAAGGTACAAACTCGTTAGAACAGACTTCTTGGATAGAAACCAAATCAGTAGCCACCTCCTCATCACAATCCCTTCCAAAATCAAAAGGCTCTGAAAACGAGTCAGAATCAGTACAATCTCCCAGTCCACTACTCAAAAAACTAACCAATTTATTCTCCTCTTCCCCATTAGACGATATGCAATTAAAACCTTTCAAA